CTTTGCGCGCGTGGTCCATCCGCCCCAGTGTTTTGCGCGCGTGGTCCATCCGCCCCAGTGTTTTGCGCGCGTGGTCCATCCGCCCCAGTGTTTTGCGAGTGAGGTCCATCCGCCCCAGTGTTTTGCGAGTGAGGTCCGTCCGCCCCAGCGTTTTGCGAGTGAGGTCCGTCCGCCCCAGTAAAGGGAGCACCACGCTCAAGCTTTAGACTCTGCGATGAGCGACCCCGCGCTCTACCCCGCGCGCCGTCGCCCCTCCTTCCCGTCCTCGCCTAGTTCTTCTCTTCCCCCCCCGCCCCTGCGACCGCACTATTTTCCCTAGAGATTCCTTCCCCCGAGCTAGTAAGGTGATGACGACGGTCGACGACGAGAGGGCTCATTTATTAAACGATCATAACATAATGGCACTAGATCACACATCGAGCAGAGCGACCGCCTGCTGCATCGACATATCAACCACTGTGAACAGATTTCTTTCTATTGTTTTCTTCATGCAGCATGCTAACGCCAGTCAAAAACTTGCCTGACGGCGATAGGTTGCATTTGATTTATGGTTTATCGTCTTCATTCAGACACGAGCACACGGAGGTTTTTAAAAGTGAGCTGGGTCGCTCTTGGCGACCGCGTCTAGTGGTTGAGCGCTCCGAAAAATGCTGGCGTCTTCATCTTCAAATAGGGTTCTTAAAATGGAGTTGGGGCTCAGAGTCAGATGAAAGGAAAAGGGTTAATACAGATACAGCAAGTCTAGCGCTACTGCTAAAAAAAAAATGATCAAAATCAATTTTATTGCACGAGTCTTTAATGTTAGATGGAAATTTATGGAAGCACTTGCTCACATTCTTGAAATTGTCGTCAAAAGTATATGGGATGAAAATGGAAACGAATTAGAAAAAAAAAACCGGACACAAAGCATTAGTATGTCTTGGGAACAAATACACGTGAAAAATAGAAGCTGGACCGCAGCTCGCCGCAAAAATCAGTTCAAAGTTGGATGTAGTTGGGAATAGAGATGAAGCAAGTTGGCGCGCAGCAAGTCGACGTGTGACGCTGCTATCTCCAGAAGTTCTGACACTAGGCCTCAAAATTCACTGGCCGCTGCAGCTCGAGCTCGAGGGTATGCTGATAGGCAGCGAAATTCGCATCAACATCGACAAAGACATACGCGGGAAACAAATAGAAACCCGCGGCACTATTCATCTTCGTGCGCTGTTTTCGCTTTGTCGAACTGATGCGCAGCACATAAAGTGACACTGTCCGACGGCTCCTGCAGCGATCCATTGGTAGCTGATGGCCATCATCGACGTCGCCATCACTCCCACAACCGTCTTAGCATAAGTTTGTGTTTGTCGGCTTCGGGGCGCATTCCGCGAAGCTTTTGCCATCCACAGCCAGGCCGCTGTCGCCCTGCGGGATGCACTTGCCTTTGATGCTGGCGTCTACCCGATCTTCCTTAAACTCCCCGTGCCAGCTCGTCCGGTCCGGCCACGTGTGCACGCCCTCGCCGTGACGCTGGTTGTGCTCCCACTGCCCCTCATACGTATCCCCGGTCGGCCACGTGTACAAGCCACGGCCATGAGGCTTGCCGTCCTTATACTCCCCCTTGTAACTTTCCGACCCGCCCGGCCACGTGTACTCGCCCTCTCCGTGTTGGAGGTCTAAGTACCACTGCCCCCTGTAAGTCGCCCCGTCCGGATACGTGTGCACGCCCTCGCCTTCTCTCTTGTCGTTCTTCCACTGCCCTTCATACGTCCCTAATCGGGGTGGCTCGGCTCTGACGGAAGGGAGGCACATCGGCACATTCCCATACACCATCTTGCCGCAGCCATCCATGGAACCTCCTTGGAACTGCCCTTCGTACTCCATCCTCCAAAAAAAATCCCCGTTCGGCCACGTCAGCTTGCCCTCCCCGTGTGGCCGGCCGTCCTCGACGTTCACCTCGCCTTCGTACTCCGCGTCCTCCCCTTTGTTTCTTTTCGAGGGTATCGTTTTCTTGCTGCGCAACTTGCCGCCGCCACGATCTGTCTTGGGCTTGGCCAGCATGTCAAGACATGCAGAGAGGGCTGCGCCAGCAGCGGGCTGCGCCGGATGTGTTGCGCTCGAAGAATCCACGGGAGTGGGGGCGCCTCCAAGAGCAGAAGGCGGCGTGGCATGATTACTAGCAGGAGCAGTTGTAGATGATGTCTTGTCCCCGTTTTTGGAAGCTGCTGATGGCGGATTTTGTTGATCCTCATGATCCTTGTCCGAAGTGGGTCCACTATCCATGTTCTCGCCATGTAGATGAAGTACTTTAGCCGCTGGCTTGTCTTCTTTTTTTTGCGCACCTTTAACACCATGGCCTGCTTTATCTATATCACTATCGTGCGGAAGACCTTTCTTTCCTGGTTCCTCGCGAAGTTGACGTTGAGGCAGTTGATGTGTGCTGCTTAGCTCTTTTTTTACAACTAGTGGCAGCCCAGTGCCATCACTTGGTCCGGCGCCGGCAGATGAAGCCGCGGCCGGCGGTGGGGAGGTACGCACCGGAGCCCCTCCTGCTAGTTGTAGTTGTTCCTCGTGGTGGTCCTGGTCGCCCGGGCCTGGCCGCCTTCCTGCCGCTCCGGCCGCGGGGTCCCCGCTTGCAGCAGCAGCAGCCTGAAGAGGATCCTCTGTTGCAGCGGACCGCTGTGCAACTACGGGTGAAGAAGCTTGATGCAGCGGCGCGTACTATCGACTGCAAATACGTTTGGCTCTGGAAGGGTTCCCGCCCTGTTTGTCACACATGAAGATCTTCTTTTCAGTTGTCATGCAGATGGTGGTCTGGAATTATGCACACAAATGCGCTGTATTTACAGGTGTAGCACACGCCTCACGGTCGCGATGCCTGTCTGGCAACATGACAGGTTCCGTATTGGCGTAGCAAGAAACTTGCGTATTTTCTTTTACTTTTGGTTTTGGGGCGCATGCAACATAAGAAGTTTATTTTCCGTCATCCACGAGAACGTGCGGGGCAAGTTGGGACCTCCCTTCAACTAGACCTAGAAACATTTGCAAGGCATAGCGCGGCCGCGGGGTCAGCACCACTGGGGGCCAGGTGTGGTCCGGCTGCAGCAGCAGCAGTGCCTTCGACTTCCTCAGGTCCTTCGTGTGGGTTGTAAAACCGACCGATGACGGCCGCTGCTGGTTTTTGCACTGGTAGTTTCTGCTTCTCATCTCCACTGGTGTTCTTGCCGCATTCTATGCAAGGGGAAGAAACTTCGACTTCCTTCATTTCCATGATCTGCTGTTCACCTACGCATACCAACAGGAACACGACTCTCGTGCTCCTCGTCGACGTCATGCGAAGAGGACAACAAAAGAAGAGCAGCTGCAATTAAATTTCGGCATCTTCGTAGTGTAGTTGTAAGAAGCTTGAAGTTGAAGTTTTCTTTTTCATACTGCCACAGGAGCCACTGCAATTATCCTCGTTCATCTTGTCTCCCATGTTCGGCTGGGCAGCTGGCGCTGCGTTTGTCTTGCGGCTTCCGTTGGCGCTTCCAGTTGTGCTCCTCTGCTGCTGTGATTGCTGCTGCGCGTTGATTTTTTCCACGTTCACGGCACTGACGAGAGGAGGGCATCCAGGAAAAAACACCCATCCACATCCAATTTGTCATGCAAAACACGTATAAATTTCTGTGCCTGTCATGCGAAAAATGGATGGGGATGGGTTTTTTTTCTGTGGATAGAGGGGCCGGCGATACCACTAGAGTGCTGGTCGTGTATGTTGATATCGCGATGCGCAGGACGCTGTGCATTGCAAAAGTATCGCACTCGTATAAATGCATTACAAATTTCCTCAGCATGAGAAATAAAATTTGTAATGCTGATTTACCTTAGCGAAAGGATTTGTAGTGTATGACTGCAATTACTACGAGTGCGATACTTTTGCACAGGATAGACGCTGGTTGCAGCAAGCAGGAACTTGTTCTTCCCCGTAGGATATCAAATGCAAAAATGCCTGGGTCTGGAAGATTCCAACTTGTCATGCTAAATCTCAATCATGCAAAGATCTGTGTTGCATAATTCCCAAAAGCTGTCCACTTTCGACCAAGTTGGGAGGAAGTTTCTCATGCAGGATAGGCATGGCAGAGACCTCACAGAGTCTGTCATGCGAAGTCCCGCATTCCGGACCTCATGGCCATGGGTCATGGAAAACCTGCATTACAAGTCTACACCCTTCCAGACCCAGACATTTTTACAGTTGATATAGGAGGTAATCGATATCCTATGCAAAGACGTCCCCACGACCCCGATAAGCTGGTGACGTCGTGCCAAATTGCGTGTTTACTTCACACGCGCGGTTCTCAATAAACGGCATTCTGTACAAAATGTTGGCGCTTGGTATTCTGTCATGCACTAATCAGGACAACTACGGGGCGCATTTGTCATGCGTCTGGAATATCTAGGCACAACTTCTACACTGCAGCGCCAAACTTGTCATGCGTGGCTCCCAAAACTTTTGGCTTTCTTGTCGTGTTGCAAAGTCCCTGTCTACTTGACTCTTGGGTCGTGAGGACATTTTTACGCACGATAAGCGGCGGCGCATAGTTCTGCTTCTCCTCTTGTACCTCGGACAGCTAGACGTCCTCGGCGAGGCGGCGCCAGCGCCTCTACGACGTGTAGAGTTTGTGCTTGTGGTGATCATGCTGGGACGACGACCTGCGGGCCGGTGACGAGCTGCGTTAGGAGTGCGCCGAGTGAAAGCCATGTTCCTTGGAGGTGGTCGGGGTGGTGGCTTCGCGTGGAAGATCTGGAACAAATCAAATTTAGTAATTACTACGAGACTACCACGCCGGCGTCCAGGACGCCGGCGATGGGGCGTCTAGTAAACTCAGAAGCATCTTCATCCAAATAAACTACGCAATGGAGGCCGCTCCAGAGGAAAAACGAAGCCGCCCAAGCACAAGGCCCCTTACTTTCTGCAACGCATCTTGCGGATTTCTTTCTCGGGAGCAGTTTGGACCTTTTACACCCCCTCCTGTGGGAGCCAAGGCTAGGGCGTAGAGGCTAGGAGCCACTGCTCCCGAGAAAGTGAAAGTAGAGGCCAAGGCGCAATAAAGTTGCATTTCTGCGAAAGAGATCGAGGCTTTCTCTCTCAGGAGAGGTCTTGCCTTTCTAAGTCCCCTCCTGTGGAAGGTGGCTACATTCAAGTCGGCGCCCGCGTGAATGCAAGCGGACCTGGCCCGACGTGAACATAAATCCTATCGGACTTGTCCCGGCGCCCCCTTGCATTTAGACGCTGGGACCGCCGTGCGGCTCAATTGAGGAAGATTGGCCCGGCGTCTGCGCTGGGAGCATTGCGGATGGCTGGCCCGGCGCGCGTCTACCTAAAAGTAGGCGGACGCACCCTTGGGCCTTGCCCAGCCCTCGGCCCACCTGCAGTGGAGTCTTTTCGCTGTCTTCAGCTGAATTCAGGCGGGCGCGTGCCCCGGCGCGCATCTGAATTCAGATGGGCGGCACTTAAAAGCCCCTCTCAGAAGCTTCTCTTAAGAAGCTACCTGCTAAGCGAAAAAAATGCCTAGAGAAATTTCTAGACCCGGTCTACCCCGGTTGTGCGTTTATTTCCATGTGACAACATGTCTTCACACCATCACACAAAACCAAAAGCCGTTCCTACTACATCATACAGCATCAAGCTTCTAACTCTATACCTTCCCCGGTCCAGGACGCAGTCGTGCAAATGCTTCAACCTCCACAGCTTGCAGAAGTGGCAATAGTGGCTTCGGCTTCGCGTGGAAGATCTGGAAGAAGTGACATAGTATATTATTGTAGAAACTACACTCGCCTGCTAGTTGTACTTCTGAGGAAGTAACAACACTACTGTTGAGCAGTAGGTTCTACTTGTTCCACATAACTGACGTAGTATTTATAGGAATTTTTTGTTTGTTCGTAAAATAAGAAGATGTTGACCGGTAGTAGTTCAAAAGTTTTGTATAAAAGTATAAAAATATTTCCGAAAAGTTTGCAATTTGTTGTTCAAAGCGTCGAGGTCGTGAAGTAAATGCTCTACTTTTGTGTCCTTCTAGGACTTGTTGCAGACGTGGGGACGACCAACAAGTCTCAAGAAAAATAACCTGTCGAAGAAGGGGGAGTCGTTCAATATTTCGTTTAGGCAAATAAAAACGATCATCGTGGTCTCGTCGGGCGCGTCAGTAGTTTCTTTTAGGAGCAATGCCCAGTATCGAGGAACGTCACGCAGTCCTCTTTGTTGTTGTACGAAAAGGAAAAAGTCATGAGGGACGTTTACGAAGAGGAAGACGTCGTCCTCCTACAGCACGGTACTACCCTGAGTAACATCACACACCACCGGACGATATATAGTTTTCCCTGAAACAAAAACCGACGTCAAAAACGCGGTTGTTCTAACCGAAGAGGAAAAACACATTCGATCAAACGAGAGCGACCACCAACACCGAGGATGAGAGGCAGACGACTAGCACGAAGTATATAAATCAAAATAAAGTGAATTTCACACGCATGGTATTCCGATTACACGAAAAAGCAACCGAGGAAATTCAGCTTATGGCACTAACGCGAATACTAAAGACCACCGATCAAACATCGTTTTCATCCTTCTTGACAACTTATTTTGAAGATACTGTGTACAGATGACGAAAGACCGACTTTTTCACCAAATGCGGGTACGGTAGAACAAACCGATCGAAATGCTCTTTACGTCATCGGGACATGCACAGCAAAGAGATCGGACCGGCTCCAGGACTACAGCACACAACGATATACGGACTAGACAGAAATGATGGATACCCGGCAGAAGTGTTCAATATTTCATTATTTTTTTTTCATCACAAGAACATGTTGTCCTCTTCGCACGCGATCCGAGCAGCTGAGCTCAGAGCTGTCGGCTCGGCTCGCCTACGGACGGTGGTGGAGCGAGAGCGTGCTCGGGGCTGTAAGAGCTGCAGCTGCTCGTCCGGCGAATGTTTTCAAAAGCTAAGGGGAAACTTGACCTCCGCACATACTGCTATAGTAGAGGCGGTCCACAACTTTACGAGTGCAGCAGCTGGAGCTCTTGACAACGCGTTCGCGTTGTACAACTAATTTCCACCATTACATTATCAACTACCGGTCTGCGTATCTAGAAAAAAGCAGCACTGCGGCAGTAATTTCCAGTAGGATTTTGAGTTCACAGTTATCATGTGCTCATCGGACTTTATCCACACAAGTTTTTTGTTTTTCTCCGAAACCTGTCTTCTGAGAGTGCACAACTCCCCCTCCCCCGGATTTGTATAGCATGAACGGCAATAGAAACACCAGCACAATTGGACCCTGTGCATGACAATAAATTTACGCATCTCATGTATTACTGTTTGGGCTTCCGGAGTCTGTCATGCCAACAGTGCCACAAGGCAGCGACGGACTGGTGGATTTGGGAATTTGCATGACAAATGAGAAGGAGAGGGGGTTGTGCACTCTCATATGTTTCGATGAATCCATCAGCGCCTGCGCACCGGAGGGAAGGCAAACCGCGTCGTTATCTGTATCAAATGCAAACATGTCTGGGTCTGGAAGATAATTGCCAGGTTTGTCATGCATATTCTGCATGACCCTCGATGTCTGAGTTGCATGGCCTAGAATGACAAATTTTTAGAAGGCTTCCTGATGTTGCCTATCCCGCATGAGAAATGCTCTCTCCAACGCGCGGTATAAACTGGACTCCCCTTCTTGCTGGTCATGCAATACAGATCTTTTTAGTATACAGAGACAGCATCACAAGTTGCAACCTTGTTCCCAGAGGACTACATATTGGCACTGCATATTCTGCAGAGACGAGCAAGAAGGGAAATTTCACCTTCTTCAAACTTCTCTGCACGTCTTCCTATGCATTGCAAAAGTATCGTACTAGTATAAATCGCAATACAAATTGGCTCAGCACTACAAATTAAATTTGTAATGCGGATTTACCTTAACAAGATAGATTTGTAATGCATAATTGCGAAGATTACTACGAGTGCGATACTTCTGCACAGGATACTTCCACTTGCCTCACCATTTGCAACGCGGTCCCTAACCGCAGCGGATTGTTTTCCCCACCATAGGCGTTTTTTTCCGTCACCTGCAGCTGGATCGCGGGGTCTTTGGACAGCTTGTCGACCGAGGTTATCAAATGTAAAAATGTCTGGTGTTTTGTCTGCACAGGGAAGAGAACGACTTTAACATTTTGAAGAAAGAAAAGAGAAGAGAACTACGTGGATATGTAAAAATGTCTGGGTCTGGAAGAATTCAACTTGTCATGCTGATTGTGGATTCCAAAAAAAGTCTGTATTGCATGAGCAGCAAAGAAAGTCCAAGCTTTGCTACACGGAAAGAGCATTTGTCATGCGGTATAGGCATTGGGAAGCCCTCACAAAATCTGTGATGCTAGGGCATGCATCACAGACTCAGACATCAGGAGTCATGCAAAATGTGCATGACAAGCCTGGCAATCTTCCAGACCCAGACATTTTACATTTGATAGAGGTGTTGTGGGGCATAAAGATTGGTCGCCACGTCGGGATATCCTGTGCAAAAGTATCGTACGCGTTTCGTATAAATGCAAGTCTTGCATTACAAATCTTGTTGCCAAGGCAAATCAGCATGACAAATTCCATTTCTCATGCTGAGGAAATTTGTGATGCATTTGTACGAGTACGAAGATACTTTTGCACTGCATACGGGAACAGGGGCGCGGCGACGTGGCGGAGAAACAGTTTGATGGGGAGGATCGGCATGGAGAAGTGAATCATCGGCGCATTCAGAATGGCGCCGCCGAACTGGGCATGCAGCGGGTGGGACTTTTCTTGAAGTCTGATAGAGGTATTTGATTTATTTCTATTTCACTTTCAGATTGGATTTCTGGTGCATCACAAAAAGAAAGAATTACTGTCTGTAGAAGGAGTAAATGACCGGGATGACAGCGAAGCTCAGCTGTACCATCCCAGCAATATATAAACCTAAAACAACTACGTATGTACCAAATTTATTTGCACTTCCATACCTTATCCCCAGCTGAAGTGCGCACGCGCCGCCCCAGGACTCTCCGTACAGGAAAAATTTCGTTTTCGTCGTTGTTTTCTTTGCGTATTTTTTCATACAGTATTTCACATACTCCTCGTAGTCGTCGATACAGTGTTCGTATGCAGTAGAGAAAAAAGTGTTACAGTTACACATTTGTTCTTGGAGTTGCTGCATCACAAATTTTCTCTGCGTGGCAGAGAAAGCCAAAGCTTGTAATGCAAAGATCATAAAGGAAAATATTACGTAGGAACAAGCGAGGCTCGCAAGCATTTCCTGCATGACAAAGGTCGTCTGTCTTGCGGCTCCTGCAACACAATGTGTAGTGTACTGTAACACTTTTTTCTTGCGATACTTCGAACTTCGGCAGGTAGTGTTTTTCCCGATCGTCCGTGTTGTCCGCGAAATAGCCGGCAGAATACCCATGTGTGTGGGTGTGTCAGGATTGAAATCGACAACGTTGAAATAATCTGTGATGCATAAAATGCAAGGCACGAAGTGACTGTCTTGCAGGGATTGCAAGCGAGACCGATTGTGAGCCTGTTTGGGGTCTGCAATAGAGCTGCTCTAGTAGCATGACAAAAGACGCGCTCTGTCCCTAAACAGCATGACAGACTTGATTTCAACGGCGCCGAAATTTGTCATGCGCCGTTTGAAAATTGGGCTTCCGACTGGTATCGATTTTATGCATTGCAAGCTATTTCAAGAACTTTGTCGATTTCAATGCTGACACCACCATAATGTGCCACCGCATCGTAGAGAAAGCAGGAATACCCGCTCTCCGCAAAGTCGTACGTATGCATTGCAAAAGTATCGTACTAGTAGAAATCGCATGACAAATTCACTCAGCATGAGAAATGGAGTTTGTCATGCTGTTTTGCCTTGGGATCGAGATTTGTAATGCATGACTGCGATTACTACGAGTACGATACTTTTGCAGAGGATAGTGCGCAAGGGACAATAACCCCAAGCAATTTCCCTGCTGGTTTTTCAAGGCCTGCGAGCAATGTCCGAGGATGCCGTGGTACCCTGTGCAAAAGCTGCATCTGATACTCGTATTGCAATCATGCATTACAAGTCTTGTTCTTAAGCTGAATCAGCATTACAAATTTTATTTCTCATGCTGAGGAAATTTGTGATGCATTTATACGACAGCACAATACTTTTGCATTCCATACGTGGTGAAAAAAGATCAAATGTTGAGAGCAGTTCGGCTCGGGGTCTACAACTTTCGGTGCTGATGCAGAAGTCAGGGTGGTGCCGTCACTTCTTGCAGTAGAAGTGTTTGTTGTACTAGAACCTCTTAGTACCCCCTTCGGGTGGATCGTTCTCGTGAAGATTTTCTGGCCGCGCTTGTTTTTCCAGATCCCCAGCTCGGACTTGTCGTACTCCGGGGCCTTGATTGGTAAATCGTTTTTGAACTTGATATCGTTCAGCTTGTGGTTGGTTTCAGAGAGATATGAGAGTGCGCAAGAACTCCCCCTCCATCGCATTTGTATAGCATGAAGATGAACGGCAATAGTACAACAAGCATCAGCAAGAAAAAGAATTATGCCGGTTTTGCATGACAAATTTGCACTCGAGTGTAGTGCTATTTGGGCTACAAGAACTTGTCATGTAAACAGTGCCAAGAGGCAATATATGTTGGATTGGGAATTTTGCATGACAAACGAGGGGAGGGGGAGTTGTGCACTTTCATAAGAGAAACTCCACGGTGAAGGGCCGGGTCGTTCCTTCGTAAGAGGAAATCTTGCGGAAAAACGCCGGAATGGTTTGGAAAAAAAATTTGAAGAAAACGTCAGCGACCTTGTCGAGAAGCGCAGTTGCGGCTCCCATCTTGCTGAGTAGCGGATCGGTCTGTGTGCCCGTGCCGAGAGAAAATGTGGATGTAATGTGAAAGTAAAACTCAAACTTGAGCTTCTACGAACAAAAGAACAAAGCGCCGCTTGTCCTTGTCCTCAAGTCAATCAAGATGAAGATTGTATCAAGATTGTCGCTCTAGTACTAAAAGTCGATCGCTGAGAGAGACAAGGTGGACACCAACACTGACTTTTCAATACGAAGAACAGAAGAACAGAGCTGCATGACGATATTCGACGAACAAAGCGAAGATGGAAAACGAAGAACGATCGCAAAAAGAAGACACATTTATCAGTCGCGCCCTAATTACATTAGGATCAAATTCGTATTCGATCAGATGGAAAACGCCAGGTTGATATCAGATTCAGAACGAGATGCAACACTGTGTCTGTGGGTCGGTGGCTGAGGACCACAGCCTCAACAGGAAAACGCCCACGAAAAAAAATAATGGCGAGCTGTAGCTTGTTTTTGTTCGGAGTTTGGTGCGACCTTTTTTCTGGTGACGATGCATGGGTTGATGTGATAGGAGGGTTTTTGGTGCGTTTGCACAACTTTGAAATGAAAATATCGATATCGAACATTTTCCAGCGCCAGGGGAGAAGCCAGAAAATTGCACTTCAGTATCATCACTAAAAAAATTTTCTCAACCTTTCATCATTTTCTGTACGTTGTAATTGTAGAAGTGTTCCTGCCTTTATTCCTAGGCCAAGCGAAGACGAACTATCCTGTGGCGCAACAAGAATTTTTCCAGATTCAGCTTCAGGGTACTGGTGAAACAGTATCAGTAAACCTCTACTAGGTACGTGTACGTCCAGAAGAGATGCCTTGATCGTTGTACGTGAAACTTATCTACGGCGGCCGGTATTTTTTGTTCTTCTTCTTCTTCTATCTTCCGTTCCTGATAATTTTCCTGCTCCAGGACCACGACTACGGATTTTCATCTTCGTAAATTCAAATTCTACTGTGGTCAACATCTCGGCAGCTGCTACGACTACCTCTAGCTGCACCTAGTGGAGAGAATTATGATCAACGATCTTCGTAGCGCAAGACTCCACCTTTCCGCTGCCGTATGGAGTGCAAAAGTATCGTACTAGTATATATAATAAATTGCATGACAAATTTGCTCAGCATTACAAATGAAATTTCTCATGCTGATTTACCTTGAGAAAAAGATTTATCATGCATAATTGCAATAATTACTACGAGTGCGATACTTTTGCACAGGATATGCCGCAAGAGGTCCCAATCATCCGCGGGTCGGAAGCCGTATCCTGTGCAAAAGTATCGTACTCGTACTGCAGTCATGCATTACAAATCCTGTTCTCAAGGTAATTCCGCATTACAAATTTCATTTCTCATGCTGCGGAAATAATTTGTATATGCATTTATACGAGTACGATACTTTTGCAATGCATAAACCGCTACAGTTCAAATGGAAGTTGTTCTTGCGCTTAGACGTCATGTTGATCTCGGTTTGTTGTTGTCCTCCTAATGGTCCTTTTCCGGCAGGAAGTAGATCATTCGCATTCATTCCTAGTCGCCCGAAGTTATTGTGATAGGGGCTGCGATCATACGGATGATGATGTTGATGACAAGCATCCGGATCCGACGCTGACGCGCCGCCCTTACTACAGCTCCTGAGCGGACCACCAGCACCTCCGTAATATCCGAAAACACCTTTCGGGTTGAAGCGAGAAGAACCTCCGCCAGCACCATGCTGATGCTATCCTGTGCAAAAGTATCGCACTCGTATTATTGCAGTCATGCATTACAAATCTTTTTTTTAAGGTAAATCCGCATTACAAAATTTTATTTCTCATGCTGAGGAAATAATTTGTAATGTATTTATACGAGTACGATACTTTTGCATTTCATAGATGCCAGCCACAGTAGATTCCCCCCGCTTTCATGCAAGTCTCCAACAAATCCGTCGAGTGTAGAAGTGCTCCAGGTTTAGCTGCACACGACCATGAGATAGAAAAAAAACAACCTCCATGTTGCACAGAAGTACCTGTTGCCTAGAAAGAACAAGAATCCTTGTCAAGAACTAGAAGATGACAGCAAATGCAACTAGGAACAAAGGCCACTTGTAGGAAAAGTGAACCAATTTCGAAGTGGGAGCACCACCGGAGTAGCACACCAGTCGCACATCTACTTCAACTTCATGCACTAAACAAAGATATTCGTTCGAAACTCGGCATAGTGTAAAAATCAGTGCAAGTAGAAAACAAGCACAGATGTTGTACACCAAGACACAACCACGGATATTTGATTATCGCTCGACAGATTCATCGGAAACTACTGTGCATACCCTCGCCCGTCCACGGTCCCTGGCCCGGCAGTCTGAAGTTGTTGTTGGCCGCGTGGTGCTGATGTTGTTGTTGATCAGAATTGTTCAACATCCCGAAACCAACACCCGGATTCCGACCAGGAACCCCAACCCCACCGCGTGGCGGAGCATTACTAGCATTGGGGTTCAGTTGCCCGTAGGTCTGCGGCGCATGATGATTGCCGGTTGTTTTAGAAGTCCCTCCAAGTTCTTGCTGTTGTTGTCCGAGATGAGAAGTCGAAGTGCTATTGCTGCTACCTCCATGCGCATTCGCCCTCCCAGCGGCCGAGTTATACAGGGGAACCGGCGGACGAAATTGGTGTAACCCCGTGACCGCGCCGGAGCTTGCGTGAACGGGCCGACCGTTGTTATTGTAGACCGGACGCCCGTTGACATATTGGACTGTTGGGAGGTTTATGCATTGCAAATATGTGTCTGCTGGGTCTGGAAGGATGTAACTTGTGTTGCTGTTGCTGTATCTGGATACTGCAAAAATCTGTATTGCATGAACAGCAAAACCAAAACAGGTCGTCCAGTTTTTCTCATGCTGTATCCGCATCAGAAAGCCCCCACAAAATCTGTGCTGCTAGTGCATGCATCACAGACGTCAGCAGTCATGCAAAATGTGCGTGGCAGACCTTGCATCGTTTCAGACCCAGACATATTTGCATTTTTTGATAAGGTTGTGCGGATTGTTGACGTACGGTTGTGCAACCGAACCGGTTACCGGGTTGTTGTATACACGAGGCGCACCGCCCGCGGTCCCACCTTGTGATGTCGATCCTGGTGCTCCACCAGCCGGCGGCGGTGCGGTGTGCTTCGAACTTGCATTTAGTATTGGATTCCCGCCAATGCCGCCTGCGAGCAGAGGATTGCTCATCGGTCCGCCGGTTGTGTGTAGATGTGCAGCTGACAAAGTAGATGCTACTTGTGGAGGTCCAACGACTTCAACACTCGCACCAGTACCACTACTCCCCCCTGCTCCCGTCGTGGAAGTAGTAGTAGAAGTTCCAAACTGGCAACTCCCGCGGTTCGTGTTTGTCTCGCCCCCGTCTTCCCCAATGACCACCCCTGGCGGGGGGACTAAGGGGACCTTGTGCGCTTGCATCACCTTCAACATTTCCCCAAAATACTCGAAGCCGTTCATGCACTCGGTCGCGTCGGTTGCGGCCTGAACCGTTTTGAAGGTGATCTCGAGTAAATCTTGAAATTTGTGCTCTTTCACGGTTTTATCCACGACGGATTCCATTTCCCCAAACCGTTGGAACCACTCTAAGAGACATTTTATGCAAGACAAAAACTATGTGAGTGTAACAAGTCTGTGATGCAGGAAATGCAAAACTGTTGCGCTTGTCATGCTGGATCTGCGTCATAGGCTACTTTCGTACGTGTTTTCGCGTACTAGCTGCGCATGACAGGTTCTTTTCCCTGTATTGCAAAACGAATTTGTGATGCTGCTCTTCCTACAAAGTTACACTTACACAGTTTTTTTCTTGGATACATTTGTGCTTGTTTTTATTGTCGAAATTCGCCGGGAGGTTGGTGATGCGGATCCGGTTGTATCCTCAGTAAAAACGTACCCACACCAGAGTCAAGATGGCAAATCTGCTAGACAAATCAACCAGCTTTGGTTGCTTCGCATGACAAGTGTGTCCTCGTAGTGTAATCCGGTTTAGGTAGTTCAGCAGCATCACAGATCTAGCATATCATGCGGATTCTGGCATCACAAAGCTCACAACACCACTAGAAAATGCTTCTCATGGGTCTCCGCATGAGAAACATTTTCAGCATGCTGATTTGCATATACAACTCTGGTGTGGGTAGGTTTTTGCTCAGGATAGGTTGGTCAAATTTTTCAGTCTTTCCTTCTCCGCTAAAGTGGCGACAGTTTCATTCCCCTCACCATCTATTACAATGAAAAGTGCCCCCAGCCCCGAATTTGCAAAAGTTTCTCATGCAAAGTTTCCAAATGAGAGGCTTTTGTCTTGCATGAAAGGAGCGCAAGCATTTCTGACGCAGAATCTAGGGGCGCAAGGTATCTTTTGCATCAGGGATCCGCCTGCTGTTGGGCTCCTTTGCATCACAAATTTGCGCTATTCAGAATGGGAAATTTGTCATGCTGATAGATGCAAGAGGGCGAATGTTTCGTTTGGAAAGGTTTGCAATACAAATGCTCCCAAGTTCGGGGGTGGGGGCATTTTTCCTTACGATACCATCCGTCTCGGATTTTTTGTCACTGTGGTTTTTCATCGTCGACGTTCCAAGAGCCGTATCAAATGCAACGATGTCTGGGTCTGGAAGAATGCAAGGTTTATTGTCATGCACATTTTACATGAGTCCTGTTGTCTCTGATAGATGCCCTAGCATCACAGATTTTAGGAGAGCTTCCTGATGCCTATAGCGCATCAGAAATGTCCTCTCGCCATGGCAAAGCTTGGACCACCTCTTTCGCTGTTCATGCAATACAGATTTATTCTAGAATCCAAATCCAGCATCACAAATTGCATCCTTCCAGACCCAGACATATTTGCACTGAATAAACCGGCGGCGGCGGGGGATTGACACCGATCGGCTTCAGGCCCGGATTCGAGCTGTACTCTATCAAATGCAAATATGTCTGGGTCTGGAAACTTGTGATGCTGAGTTGCGCATGATTGAAGCGCTTGCAATGGCAGTCAAGCATGACAAGTTTTTAAGACGCCTGTTGATGCCTAATACGCATTACAAATCGCGTTTTTGCATGACAAAGGAAGCTCCTCTTTTGCTGCTCATGCAACACAGATTGTCCAGGAATGCAAGACACGCATTACAAGTTCCACTTTTCTAGACCCAGACGTATTTGCACTTCATATACTCTTGTTTGTAACAGTAGGCCTCTTGCCAGGACCGCTGTTGCTCCCATTTTCGTTTTTCCTCGAAGGAAATGGTATCGTTGTAAATCCCGAAGCCCCGGTTCCGCGCGGCGATATTCGGGTCGTTCGGGCCTTCCAACATGGATTTCACCGGATTTTGGAAATTGATCTTCTCCAGCACCTCTGCCCGCGTTTTCCCCTTCTGCAAGTCCTGCCGGATTTGGACCGAGGATTTGATGGTCACACGATAGCCCTTAATCATCGGATCCGCCAAGCCGTGGATCGCTTTTTCAATTCCCTGGCGGTCTTCAAACTGGATACACGCGATGGAAAACATGCCCCGTCCGGGCACGAACCGGATGTCGGCAACCTTGCCGCATTTCTCCGTGAAATAATTCCGGACCTCGTCCTATCATATGTAAAAACGTCCCCATCTTCCCATAGTCAAGTTGGGAACTTAGCAATACAGATCCAGAAGTTTTAGGAGCCACGCATGAAAAGTTGCAGTCCGCAGTGTAGTCGTGCATGTTAGCAGGGACAACCGCATCACAAATCCATCTGCTTATCCTGTTTGCAGCATTACAAATTCCAGAACGCGATTGGAACAAATGCCCGCCTTAGAGATGCGCATTACAGATTTTCCTGTAATCGCAAATCAGCATGACAACTATGGGGTGGGGATGTTTTTACCCAGGATACGTCCCGCGTCGCGTGGCGGTGCACGTTGGAGACGACGGCCGTGAGCTCCATGTTCTCCTCGGTCTTTTTCCGCTGTTCGTACACCGCACAGCTATGAATTGCAAAAGTATCATCGTGCTAGTAGTGATTTTTGCAATACAAATTTGCTCACCATTTTTACGAATGAAAAAACTTGTCGTGCTGATTTACCTTAGGAACGAGATTTGTCTTGCATGCTTGCGATTAATGGACTAGTACGACATGGACATTTTTGCAATGAATTCATATCGGCTGGTCGGAGACAAATCGTCCACGTTTTGGCAGCCGAGATCGTGATTTTTATCCGATGTGCTAGAAGCTCCTGCTGCTGGTGTACTACTAGCCGCGTCATGGCGATTATTGTTCTGCTGTTCGGATCCTGTTGAACCAAGAGACGCTCGCGCAGGAGGAGCAGTAGTTACTACTCCGTGGGGGTTCACGTTTCCTTCCTGATCGAAAGACTGGCTCTTGTTAAAAACGTGAAGACTTTGTTGCTGTTCAACATTGTCCTTGTTATCAAACGAGCTCGTCGCGGACAATTTTCTACTCACCGTCTCCAACTCCTCCCGTTTGTCCGCACGCACGGCAAGCCACCCGACCTTTTCCCCCTTCTGCACCAAAGCGCTGGGGTCGGTCAGATCGTACACCTTCCGATTTTGCTCGCGGTGGAGGAAGAAATCGGAGGCGGGGGTCCCCGCCGCCGTGGAAGTTACAGTGTTGTCTTTCTGGTGGTCGGAGGTGCTCTTCCGGTGGTTGCCTTGAGCAGTCTCGTCATCTTGGCCTTCGAGCGCGCCGTCAGTTTTATTCACATCCTGTGGAGGTCCATCAAGAGCACAGGACGATTTTCTCTTATTTTCCGCATTGCTCTTGTTGCAGCTGCTACTTCCGATGGGCAATTCGCTTAGCCCGAGATTGTTGTTCTGAAATTTGTTACAAGAGCTGCTTGCAGCCCCAGTAGCAGCTTTTGAAGATGACGTCGTGTTGCTGTAGTTTTTCGGAGTTGTGCCACTTATTTTCATATCCTGTGCAAAAGTATCGCACTCGTATAATAAATGCAAGTCTTGCATTACAAATCTTTTTCTTATCGTAAATTCGCATTACAAATTTTCTTTCTCATGCTGAGGAAATTTGTAATGCATTTATACGAGTACGATACTTTTGCACAGGATATTTCATCTCGACTTTGCGGCGCTTCTGTAGATGTATAACCCGCTCAGGTGTTGCAATCTCAAATCGGTTACCATAGAATCTGGAATTTGTGTTGCATGCCGAGCATGACAGAATCGCAGCGCGTTCCATTTTCTGCAATACAAATTTTGCCAGATTGTAGTGGGGTTCGGGGCTCCGGAACTTGTCATGCGCAATCCTATGAGGGCTGGCTAGATCATGCACTCTTGCGTCACAGATTTCCATATTCTATTGTAACGTTTGAGATTGTAACACCTGAGCGGGTTATAAGATGGCCTGGCTTTTTCACCCCGCCCTCAAACATCAGCTTCTCGAGGTCCAAAAAGGACACATCGCCATCGTTAAGAAACTTCATTTCTTTGATATGGGATTGGGAGGTTCTTATTTCGGGGTGATACTACTTCTGCTGGGCTGCAGGAGCTTCCAGAATTAATATTTTTAGAGCAGTAGATTTTACTAAAGGTGTTGTAGTAGTTACATCGATGGTAGTTTCATCTCCTTAATAATGTGCTCCACGGTCAAGAATCGATGTGAAAAACGGTCCATAGCGGCCGTGACACAAGTTACCTAGAACTTCTTAGTACCTTTTGGGAGTGCAAAGTTATTCAATCACAACAGCTAGTCGTGCTTGCGGTGAAACAATTTTACTGTCGAAAGCAAATCAACAATCCGCTGTAAACAAACATAATGAGAGCAGGAAAGCATGTTGAGATTCAGCGAAGGAAATGGAAAATGCCAGATCAAGATCTACTAGATCATCTGGTACACATGGATCCACCTGCACGACACCTGATGATCCTTGCGAACTTGTAGCTTAGACTGTACAGCAGGGATCTCGTTGTTGTATGTAATGAAAATGAAAATGATCAAAGCCATCAGAAGAACTGGCAGATCTGTGCTAGAACCGACCTTGAGCACATACTTGCCATGGCAGACGGATCTATTCGAACTGTTCTTCTTGTTTTCCACCATCTCACCTATTCACGTTCATGCCTGTTTCATAAAACAAGGCACCACCTAGGCGTGTGCTGTCGCAGCCACTGGTGGGTGCAGTCTGAGAGTGAGAGATTTTCATTTTCATAGACGTCGGGGGTAGGAGGTCGTGCATTTTCAGTTTTCTATTATACCAAAATTGAAATTTGGCTGCCAAGCGCTATCTCTAGTAGGAGTTGTCGCAATGTGAAGATTCTTAGATTCCATCTCCGCAAGGCCAGTTATATTTGAATCGTTCACTTTTCATGTTATTGTCAAATTGGTACAAGGTTTAGCAATAGAAGAAAAGATCCTCAGCAAGGAACTGCTGCTGTTCTGCTTATTTTTGTTCTTGCCTGTTCAAGATTATACAAGAGTCGGTCATTTTCAATTTCAGACAGAATTAAACACAAGGAAAAATTAATATCTGTGCCTAATTTACAAGGAATTTTGTCTAGATCTAGAAACTACATCTTGGATTTCTTGTTGTGAAAACTTGTTGTGAGGATGTCAATTAAATAACGAATCTATACATATTTTCTTCTGCTCATTTCGGCATAGCTCAGCTGGCACACCGGCAATCGAAACAGATTGGAAGATCAGGAACCCTGGTTGCTCGCCCCTGGTTGTTCTTGCAAACCGCTACTCACTCCATCATGACCACCCAGAGCTTGTTCTTCGCGGTCAGGTACAGGTAGTCCTGCGAAAGTTGTAACAACTACAAATTACTTGCTATCATTCCGCATGCGCAGCACCGCCCCTTTCTCCAGCGGTGGCAGCCCCTCCTTCGCCCGTCTCTTTTCCTCCTCGGCATACGCAGTTTTTTGGAAATCAACCGCCCAGCTTCCCTTCGGCCGGTAATCTCGGTATCGGTAGTCCAAAAACGAGGAGGGTGGCGGTAAATCTTGGCCGGGTAATTTCGCCTGCTCCATTTCCTTTTCCTTCTTCGTCAAGCTCCCAAGTGCCGAATCCGACTGAGTCCCGGGTTTATGTTTCCCCATGCCAGCGTGGGCTTTGCGAACCTTGTTGTATCGCACGAAAAAAGTGTTTGTTCACTGTAACGATTTGGCGAGTTTTGCATCACAAGCTTGCTCTACATGACAGGAAAAATTTGCCATGCGAGGTTGCCAAGGGAAAACACGGCCAAGAGTGCGCTTTCTTGCATGTTTAGCAAGACAAGCACTTCTGAGATGCATTTTTTGCATTACAAGTTAACAGTGAAACAGTTTTTTCTTGCGATATGTTGATGTCTTCCTGCACTCGGTGGAATTTGATGTGAATCCCGGTCTCACGCTTGCGGGTCTGATAGATAGGTTTTTTTGTAAATCACAACACTAACACTGGTTCAGCATGAAAACAAGCATCACAAATCAGGCCTTGCAAGCGCATGTATACATGACAAGCAAGTTCTTTCAAGAAAGTGGGTAGCCTCGTCTAGAAAAAAAAAATACGTTGACAAATTCCATCCAAATTTTCTTCAGTGGTTCCTTCATGTGTTTTATCCAAGAAAAAAACTGTGTTAGTGTAAATCTTTTGGGAAAACAGCATCACAAGTTTGTCTGCCATGACAAGAAAAACTTGTGATGCGCAGATTCAAAGGGAAAACACATAGGAAGCGAGCCGACCATGCGTGTCGAGCATGACAAGTGTAACTGTTTTGCATTTTCTGCATCACAGATTTACACTTACACGGTTTTTTTCTTGCATATGTTTCATCCGGAGGATGTAGTCCGCGTCGGAAGCGTTTTTCCTGATCCTCGTCGTCATCATCAAATGAATCAGCCTTTCCTTCTATGCATTGCAAATATCGATCTGGGTCGGGAATAAACTTGCGATGCTAAAATGTGAGTAGCGGGCGCACTCCAATTATACGCAGCCAAGCAAGACAAACATTTGAGTTGCTAGTGTGTTTTGTTTTCCGCATGGAAAATTGTATTTTTGCATAACAGGCAAGAGGCCCTCTTTCTGTTCACGCATCACAGACTTATCTATGAGTCATGCCAGACAAGCATGGCAAACTCCTGCACTCATCCAGACCCAAACATATTTGCACTTGATACCTTCTCTGATTCCTTGATCCTGTCGCCCCGCTGAATATGCGTCTTGACCGACGGAAGAACTTGGGCCATGCTCCGCATGGAATTCCGGATTTCCGTCGTGGTCATGCGGACTGAAAGTAGGTTTTGTTGGAAAGAGAAATTTGTCATGCTATTGCAGGTGGCATGAGAAACAATGCTAAATTATCTTGCTACACAACAGGACAACGATCAGGAGACAAACAAAACGGTACAACTACGTGCAGAATCACATTTATTAATACCATCCTGCTCGATCTGCTTCGGTTTAATTCCCTCGTGTTTGTCCATTTCCTTCACTATTCTCTCCCTTCCCTGACTGCTCACCCGCAGCTTCTGCAGTTCTACCAGCCTCCTCCGTCGCACCTTGTGTCCCCAAGCGGTACACTGCAATCGGTAGTAAAAGAGCTCGTCTTGGTCGTAATTGTTGACGAGGGAGCGGTGATTGCGGGAGAGGTAGTCGAGCCTGGTATGATTGAATGCTGATAAATATGCAAAAAACAATGTAGAAAAATCAGAAATGCTGTCTGTCGTGTAAGGTTGGAATCAGTTCTAGTAGCTGGAGGACACCACGCTTGGGAAGATCATGAAAGCAGCTGCAAAAAAATCGTACTTGTCCCCTTCTTCTTTGTAGTAGTTCGGCGATTCGTAGTGCGGCTTTTTGCTTAAATTGTAGTCCGTGAAATCTTTGAACGGATTTTCCGTGTAAAACGGCCCCTTTTCCTCCATTTTCATCGCTTTCGTTTTCCGCATCCTCTCATTCTCGATTTCGGAGCTCAGTCTCGTTGTCGCGGACCGGATACTATGCACTGCAAGAGTTAGAGTATCGTACTCGTAGTATTCCAAGACAAAGTAGCTCAGCATTACAAATGGAATTTGTCATGCTGATTTAGCTTGGAAAAGAAATTTGTAATGCACAACTGCAACTAGTACGAGTACGATACTTTTGCAGTGCATAGATACTCGGCGCTTTACTCCCGCCCGCAGGTGCACCTTCGCCACCTCCCGCGCCCCCCTCTTCTTCCGTTAAAAACTCAACGGAGCTCGCTTCCATCAAATCCGCAAAAGCCGGGATGGGGACGGAATACTGCACGCCCGGGGTTGTTGGCTGCCCCGAGTAGAACCCGGCCATGGCCTTATTCGTGTGCTCGTCGGCAGATGATCCGGAATCTTTGTCTTTGGATTGGTTTAAATTCGTATGCAATGCAAAAGCATCGCACTTAGTATAAATTGCATTACAAATTTCCTCAGCATGAGAAATGAAATTTCTAATGCGGATTTAGCTTGAGAAGGAAATTTGTAAGTATATGCATGAATGCGATTTTTACTATGAGTACGATACTTTTGCAATGCATAATTTGTGTTCCCCTGCAATTGGTCCATCTCGACTAAATCATACCCGTATGTGACGGTGGGGACGTTTTCGAGCGACTGTGCCCCCGCCGACCGCAAGTCGTCAAAGATTGGGTCGGTCATCGTGCTGCATTCTAGTTCCTCCCGCTTCACCTTTTTCGGCGCGTCGGGGCTGATCGCCCGGGGGCCGCCGGAATTGGTGGAGGAGTAAAGAGAAGTGTAAGTGGTCGCAGCGCCTGATCATGTACGTTTGAGTTTCACCTAACTACACGTAGTTGCATCAAGTGCTAGTTTATAACTCCAAACTTGCAGTTTTGCGTGCTGCCCGTACAGAAGCAACGCCTAGTACATTTGTGCGTGCACACTGCAAACGGCTTGAATATTTGTGAAATAGAAATGATCATCATCACAAAAACACAAAAGATGAAGATACTAGCATTTGAGCGATCTACAACTCAGCCTCAAAATGCTAAGTAAGCATACCTGATAAACTCTTCTTCACCGGGCTGCGCTGCTCGTACGCGTTCCGCAAAGCCAGCTCCTCGCAATATGCGACCAACGGGTGATCTTCCGGCAGCAAAGCTTTCGCCACCGCTAAAGCCTGGTCTCGGTACAGCTGCTGCAAGTCCAACTGCGACTGGTTCCCCGCTATCAAATGCAAAAGCATCGCACTCGTAGTTGTAATCGCAGTCATGCATTACAAGTACCAGCCATGCTCCGGCTGCCGCCGGAGCGCAAGGCTGTTGGGCCGGGGCAAGACTGTTTGCCGATCGGACCATAATGCCACGGGCCTAATATAATGCACGACGAAACATACTGGAGTCCTGCCGCCTGTTTGCGCCGCGCCAACCCGCAGGGCCACTTGCGCGCTTCCCGCGCCTGTGGGCGCCCTGCGCACGGGGCAGCTGCAAAGAACACCGGGGGCGAACAGAAGCCGCCCGGCGCGAGAGGGTGGCCGTAGCGCGAGAGGGCGGCGCGAGAGGGTGGCGCGAGAGGGTGCGCGAGAGGGTGCGCGAGACGGTAGCGCGAGAGGGTTCGGGCCGGCCTATGCATGAAAAGGCCGCAAAAAAACAGCTCTGCGCCGAGCGGATTCGGGTTTTTTTACCCCTCTCGCAGACCCTCTTTTTCACCTCTTCCGAGAGGTGTTGCTAATAGTCCGGCTATACTCGCCGGTAGAGGTCTACAGAGGTGGACGAGAGGTGGCCCAGAGGGTGTGCGGGAGGTTCCTCCTTATTCGCGCAACCTCTCGGCACCCCTGTCCCCCTCTCGCTTACCCTCTCGGGACCCTCTCGGCCACCTCCGGGCCCCATAGGCGCGGCTTTAGGGTGAACGGTTCGGCTGGCTATACCCGCGCCACCTCTCGGCCACCCTCCCGAACGACCTCCCGCGCCACCCCTCCACCTCTGTCGACCTCTTTTGGACCTCTGTCGACCTCTTTTTGACCTCTCGGCCACCTCCCTTCGACCCTCTGTAGACCTCTTTTTTCGCATGAATATAATAGATAGTAATCCACTCCAAGGCAAAACAGCATGACAAATTCCCTTTGTCATGCTGCGCTAATTTGTATTGCAGTTTTACACTAGTGCGATGCTTTTGCAATTCATATCCGCCCCCGCGGCCTTCGACCGACTCGGGGACCGCATGTATGGAGGCGTCAGGATCGAAATCGTCAAAGTTGAACAAATAGTTTGTCATGCATAAAATGCAACCCACAGGGTGCCTGTCTTGCAGAGTAGGCAAGGAAGGCAGACTGTAAGTGTAAGCCTGTTGCGGGGTAGAAATAGAGCTGCTAAAGTAGCACGACAAAAGGCGTCTTCCTTACCCAAACAGCATGACAAACTGGATTTCGGCTCTACCCAAATTTCTCATGCGCCACATGGAAACTGGGTTACAACTTTCATGCATTTTTTGCATTACAAGTTATCACTATTTCAGCTTTGTCGATTTCAATCCTGACACACCCATAGCATGTTGATGGGGTGTAACCCGGCGACCATCGGCGCGGTCTCCGCTAGTGCTTCTAGCAAGAGGCATTTCAAACTCACCCCGGCATTGTACAAAGCGTCCAGTCTTTCCGTTGGGATTTTCGTCTGGCAGTAGTCTATATGCATTGCAAATATGTCTGGGTCTGGAAACTTGTAATGCTGCGTTGGGAGTAGTGAATGCTCTGTAACGCAGATGCACAGCCAAGCATGAGAAATATCTGCGCTACTACTTTGTGTTGCGTTCTTCGCATGACAAACTGCGTTTTTGCATGATAGGCAAAAGGGTCTCTTCTTGGACACGCATCACAAACTTTTTGGTCATGCCAGACAAGCACGACAAGCCTCGGAATCTTGCAGACCCGGACATTTTTGCACTGGATAGTCTAAAATGTTGTCCGCGCAGTCCAACGCTTCCATCAGTTCTTCTTTCGACTCCTCAAACGGACTATGCATCGCACAAGTATCGTGCGGAGCAGAAATTGCATCACAAATTCTATCGGCAAGCCGAGAAGTTGAATTTGTCATCGTAGGCTTAGGTATTTCTCATGCGCAGTGGGTTGCAACAGACTTTCTTTCTTAGCACGAGTACGAATACAGTTTTGCCCTGAATACGCGCTCAAATCCGACAAAATCTATCACAGGAAAAAAGTGTTTCACTGTAAGGATTTTGCAACTTTTGCATCACAAGTTTGTTCCGCATGACAGAGAAAATTTGCCATGCAAGCTTCCTAAGGGAAAACACAGCTAAAAATCTACTTTCTTGCATGTGTAGCAAGACAAATGCTTCTGTGTTCCATTTTATGCATCACAAGTTTACAGTGAAACAGTTTTTTCTTGCGATAAAATCGCCGCGGCGTTCATTCGCAACGTGCCCTCAATCTGCTTCGCCGCGGCGAAATGCTGCCCGGGGGAGGTTATGCATTGCAAAAGTACCTTCGTAATCGTAGTAATCGCTATGATGCATCACAATTTTTTTTGTCAAGTCAGACCCACAATACAAGTTCCATTTCTCATGCTGAGGACATTATTTGTCATGCGATTTATACTAGTACGATCTCCATCTCTTTGCAGTGCATAAAGGTTGGTCTTCTCGGTTTGAAGACCCCACCACTCATCGGCTTCTTCACCGGAGATGTGTCTGCGGGTGCGGTTTTGGAGCGCAGTTTGTCCGGAGAAGATGAATTGTAAAACGCACCATTTATTCCACTCGACCCGGGCGGGATCGTATTCGTATGTTGTTGTTGATAGAAGAACTGTCCGGAGGGTGCGGAGGCGCCGGGTGGGGGGAGAAAGCTGTCCTCTTGTTGGAAATAATGCGGTCGGATGGTCTGGGAAAAATTTTCGTCCACCGATGGTAGGCCGCCGGAGGGGGGAATGGTGCTGGACGGTTCCTGCAAGGAGATCGAAGGATAATTCTCGTCTTTCTCAATCGACATGGACCTGTGATCTACCTCCATCAAAGACGAGCCGGAGAGGGAAGTCGTGTGCTGTGCCTGTGGCGGATTCACGTTCTGTCTACTGCCACTTCGCGACGTAGATCTCGATCCCCCGGCTTTCGATCCCGGCCTGGAACCCGCTGCGGCGTTCTCTTCCTTCGCTCGTTCAATCGCTGCGTCGTCGGAGTAGAAATTCACCGGCCTGCATCCCCGGAAAAAATCCCATCCACATTAAGATCAAATCTGTTTCTGTCATGCAAAACGTGCAACATATGGATGCATTCCCTGTGTTTTTTGTCATGCAAAAAAAATGCAATGCGAAATGGTAATGGATAGGCTTTTTTCTGTGGATAGCCTGCTTCTGCGACTCCCCGTCCTGGAACTTGATCCCTGCTGATGTTGCAGTAATCCCGCTGGCGTCGCTATCCAAGAAAAAAACTGTGTCAGTGTAAGTATCTTTGGCTGACAGCATCACAAGTTTGCTCTACGTGACAGAGAAAACCTGTCATGCGTGGCTTGTGAGGGAGAACACACATGAAAAGAGAACTTCATAGCTGTCTGGCATGACAGGCGTAACTCCGTTGCGTGTTCTGCATTACAGATTTACACTTACACAGTTTCTTTCTTGCATAGTCGCTTGGTTCTCGTAGTAGATGTCCAACGGATGCGGGACGGTTTTCGACGCGCGAAACGGCTCCGGGTTGAAGAACGCCGGTCGTCTCGGGTTGTGGAAGGGGTGTTTGGAAATCTGCTTCTGGTTAATCACCCACTTTTGTTCCCCACGACTGGTGCCAGTGCCACCCTGGGCTTGTTCTTGGCCACCACCCTGACGAGACGAGCCTTGGCTCCTGCCTCTACTTCTACTCTGCGGGGGTCCGGAGGAGTTATGTAGTTGGGAGGATCTGGGCGGAGAGAGCGAGTAGGAGTTGAACGAAGCAGCTGTTCCTATTTCGTCTGTGGTTCCTTGTTCTGGGTAAAATGACCGCGGCGGGGCAAGCGGTGGTCCACCCCCGCGTCGTGTTGATAAGGTACTACTAGCCGCGTTTCTTCTTGTCCCTACACCAAGAACTTCCTGATCCTGTTCTTCCCCAGTGTATTCCTCGATTTTCTTCTCGCCAGCGATGGTGATGTCTCCATCTACTGTTCTTTCTGTTCTTTCCTGATCAACATCAAGTTCCTGCTCATGATCTGCTTGTTCTCCTTTTCCGTCGGTTTTATTTTCCTTGTCTTCTTCCCTTTTCAGCTTGTAATTCATCTTTTCAAAGAACGCCTCCGCCTCCGCCAATCCCATTGACAAGTACCTTAACGCCACCTCCGGCCGAGACTGCCTCCTCCAGTGCAGCGCCAACAGCGTCCACTGCCGTGCGGCGCCCCGCAGAGCGTTGATGTTGGCGTTCGCAGTGGAGAGCATGCTGTCCGGGACGACCTGCACGCCCGGGCCGATGGACTGCGGCCGGCTGGCGGACGCGGGCGGGAACATGCTGCCGCGGCTCCTACTTCTCCCAGTACCCCCCGATCGCTTGCTGTGGGCGGTGGTTTGCGGGCGGATGCTGTCGTAGAAGGCTTGTTGGTCCTCCAAATCAGAGGTGTCTGTATGATGGCCTGGTGGACCTCCGCCGCCGCTAACATCTTCCTCCTCGGTCGTGACGTTGGCGTGGTTGTCGATGTTGCGCTGGAAAATGGTCTCCTCGTCCGTGCCACCGTCGTTACCGCCCGCGGACGCCGCGGTCGGGGGCGTTGGCGGTTTGGGCGGAGGAGGGGCAGGGGGCTTCTGGTCGGCGGAGGTGGAGGAGGACATGGTGGTGTAAGTGAAGGTGATTGTGGACAGTTTGTGATTTTTCGATTTTTCTGCAGGAGCGTCCCTAGGTCCTACAATCAGAGTCGGTTTTTTGTTGTCTGCCAAAGTACGACGCTGCTGAAGGTGGCGATCACGATGTTGGTGCGCTAGCTATTAGATTACGACAAAAACGACCAAGTGCAGAGCATTAAAAGTGCTGCTTTCTGCAAGCGCCACCAGGGGAAGACGAAAACCTGAAACCAAACAGACGTCGGTGCGCTCCCGCTCTCTGAGCCCTCTTTCTGTTGTCGCCATTTTTCGTCTATGTCAAAAATCCGCCAAACTCCCGACAATCGATTTCGATGCGCATGCTCTCTTGTGTTTGTATGTAACGCTCGCATGCGAAAACAGAGGGGGCGAGCGAGCAGCTTCCTGAAGATAGATATTACTTGTTCTAATTCTTGGCCCATTTTCATATTCTAGCGAGGTCCTTCTGGAAAACAAGACTGGAAACGGCCCCCCTGAGCTAACAGGGTCTGTCGACGGCCACGCTTCGCCTTCGATCGATGTATCACGGGCCGAAAGGTAAAAAGAAGAGTGAGCCAGTCACGGCACCCAAAACATGGCCGCCGGCCCGTGCCATAGTCTATCTCGCAACTACGCGCCACAACGACGAATGGGCCCGCGCCATGACGCCACATCGCGACAACACGCGAAAAATAATGGGCGGGGGCTAGATCCCGGGCCGGCGGCAGTCAGAGAGATTGCTTAGCTGGCAAGGGGCCGGCCGGCCTCATAAATATCAATCAACAATCCACAAAGCCACCAGAAACACCCCGAGGGGTGCGCAAGCAGGAATACCATGCCCGGCCGCGAAGGAACGAAGACGCACAAGGGCCGGCCCGGCGCCGGGGGGGGCGGCGGGCCACGCACCACCAGAGGGGCGGGCGCGCGCGGGGCTCCGGCCCGCCCGCCCCGACCCGGGGGAGACCGACAAAGATAGAAGGGGCAACGCCGGCCCGCGCCTTTGATTTTTTAGAGTGGGCTGCTCTGTTTGACACATTGGCGCGCGGACAAGAGCCTGCGACTATGGTCGCCACCGCCACGGTGCCAGCGGCCGCCAAAGCTACGGGAGGGCGACAGGCAAAGGGGCCGCAGGGCCTGCGCCGGCGCCCCGGATAAACGCGGACCGAGTCCGGGCGCCTTGAGTGACGCCCCGGGGCCGGGTGCATCGATCGGGATCGTCGCGCACACGCGCAGCGCTACGGCCCCCGCCCCAACGCACTGAATCCGGGCAAGCTAGCGCACGGGCCTCGAGGGCCGACGGCGCGCGCGCCTCATCTTTGGGGCAGCTGGTAAAACCAACAGCGGAGGCGCAACGAACTGCAATCCGGGCACCGCCCCGGCCCCACTGACCGGCCAGGCAGGCAAGGCCACGCCTTCCCATATGATTCCTACTTGCGGCGTCTTCGATAAATTGCTTGCTCGCCTCTCTTGAAAGAACTTGCCCTTTCTCTCTCTCTCTCTCTGTCTCTCTCCCTCTTTCTTGCCAGACAGACAAGACCAAGAGTAGACAAAAGAACAATGCTAGTGAACATCATCATACTACGTGGGTCACAACATCTTCTACCTTACGTGCAGCCTGTGTATCTTTTGCTGCAGCAGTCCGACACTTTCTGCGCAAGATGCTTCTGCCCGAGCGTCGATATATGATGTGTAGGGCACATTACTCCTTCTCGTGACCAGAAGACGAGTCCTCGCTATTAAGGTCAATCAGAAGCATTCACTCCCATCATGCACACCTCCACGACCACAAGTAGAGTTACCCCATCTACTTCTATCATCACCTATCCGCCGCCCCGACCTGGATTTTGTCTTTCAAAGTGACCAGTCCATCTAAATACGCTTGCGTAAACGGCACGGTGGTCACCGCGTCCGCCTCCAGCTGGACTTTTTTCTGTTCCGCCGTGGCCGTGCCGGGCTTCGAACCCGGCTTCATCTGGTCCAGCACCTCGTGCGCAAATTCCTTCGCGTGGCTCTGCCCGTCCACGAGACTGGGCCGCAGCTCGTGCCTCCGGTAATCCTCGCGCTTCTCCTCCATCGTGCGAAACCGGACTTCGCGCTTGATGTCGTACCTGGAGTGTAGTTGGATAGAGATGATGTTATCATGTTGCACGGTTGTAGTTTAGAAGCATGACAGTTTAATGTTGTCGTTGTGCTGTACGCATTACAAATTTTTCATCGTTCTTCCGTTCAAATCTCTATCCACCTCCACATAAGTACCTGATCGTATCAAACGTCTTTCCAAACCGCTCTAGCCTGTCTGATATCAGCGCGTTCTTGCTCATGCCGTTGTACAGCTGGTAGTCCCCGGGTGTCTGGATCTTCGAGTGTCCCGTATCAAATGCAAAAATGTCTGGATCTGGAAGATCGCTAGCTTTGTCATGCAGGTTTTCCATGACCCACGCGGTCTGGCATGCATGGCCTAGCATGACAGATTCTGTGAGAAGATCTCCATCATGCCCTTCCTGAGTGAGAAACTGCCTGTAAACTTGTTTCAAAGGAGCGGACAACTACTTTTGGTAATCTTGCAACACAAATTTTTTCGCGATCCAGATGTAGCGTGACAAGTTACACTCTTCCAGACCCAGACATATTTGCTCTTGATATCCCGCCTCCTCGGGCAAACTCGTGGGTCGTATTATCAGCACGTCATCGCGCTCGGTGCATTTGGGCTGCCCGTTCAGGCCGTAGATCACTTCCTTTTTGTACCTGTGGTGCGTGTTTGTCATTTCGCGACACATTGTTGAAGATGAGTAACAGAAGGTGACTACGCATGACAAAAATAGGCCTTCTTGGTGCCGCGTTTGCAGGCATGACAGAGGAAGCAGCAATGTCACCTACTTCTACATTAAAATGCAAAAACCTATAGTACGTGTCCTTCGTCTTCTCGTAGTCGATGAGGGTTTCGAACACGCTGCGATTTATGTCGCGCATCCAAAGGGGTACCCGCTTCTTCTCCGAGGTGTAGGATTTCAAGTCTTCCATTATGGCGTCCTGCTGGTCCTTCTCCAGCTCACCGACAGAGGCGGACTTGCCGGCACCTGACAGAAAAAGGATGTCAGTCTATCACTTCATCTATTTCAACGCCAATCTTGATCTTCGCTTTTAGAAGTGAAAGGACATCACGACCTTCAACATGTCGAGTATCCTTTTCCTCGACCACATTCATTATCGTTTCGCTTTCGTCCCACACGTTTCTATGCATGACAAAGACAAAACAGCAATAAATTTTTCCTGTACTCATATCGTAAAGATTTAGCGTCTCCTGGTCGCACTTCTCTTGCATCCGCAGCAAACTCTCCCTGGCCGTTGGTTCGAAGGGCGATAAGGTAGGAAGGATTTCAAAAACCACTTGGGTAGATCTGCATTGCGTTTCCGGGATCGCACCGTCATCTTCGTAGGAAACGGTGCCTTGGTCTGAACTCGCGTCGGACTTGGCCTTTCCGCGCCGGGGAGACGACTTTTTCGGCGGCATGATGGATGATGAGGATGTAGAAGAAGTTCTGGAGGGACGAGTATATACTAGTGGACGAGAAGTGCCGCGTGTTTCCTACCTCCCTCTCGAGGTGCTGGTGGTGTAACTGGTGATAGTGATGCTGTGCTCGCTGGTAGTAGAATGTGGTCACGACCTAAAAACGCAATCCCAGGCTTGTTTTCGGGACGGTTTTCGTTGTTGTTTCTCGAACGTGCGGCCTTCTTCTTTTAGCGTGCTCCACTGACGAAACAAAAGTGTCGACTCTTCAACTCGCCGGGAGAATAGTACAGAAATGCGTATCTTGTTTTCAGAAAAGCTTTATCCTGTCTTGTTCTGGACAAGGAAACAATGATCTTACAGGTTTTTATTGCTGTATACGGAAAAATCAGAAACTGGAACTACCTCATGTCAAGCATAGTGTACATTTTCATTCACTACATCAACGAAATCTAGATGCTATCTTCCCCGCAAAACCGAGCTACAATTTCTGTAGGTGCAGCAGATGCAGAGCATGAGTGGTTAAGAGCGATGTCCTAGCTTGATGAAAAAGTAGCAGCACTTTTTGCTGCTGATCGAACGACAGAACAACATACAAATTGCTATACACAGGAGTTGTACTTATGAAATACATGAAGTCGCTCAAACATAAAATCAACGATATGCGCTCGTCAAAGGCTCTCGTCACGATGTTCTCGAGCCACCCTCTCCCTCTCTTCAACCAAACATGCGAGTTGGGCCGCAATGAGAGCATGAACAAATGAACTCCAAAACACGACGACAGGCTGCCTCTACGACAGGCGAAACTGCAGACGAGAAAGCGAAAACCATTTCAATGATTTTCGTCTACGTGGATGCACTCCCCCGCGCCCAAAAATGGCAGAGGACTAGCGGGCGGGTCGTGTGCCTCAATTTCACTACCACTGCGCAGGGCCGTCGCCGGTCTGCCTTGAAGCCGGGCTGCTAGCCGAGCGGGGATGAAAGAATACGGCAGCGCGCGAACATCACACGCGAGACGCGCGCGCCGCGCCATTCGCTTCCGCAGGGGCGCGCGACGGAGACAAAACCACTACACACCCCGACCTGCCCTCCCTTCCAAGCGGGCCGAGCAATGCACAGACCTAGTGGCCGGGCCCTGCCAATGGCACGCGCGGCACCGAGCCGGGGGCGGCCATGTGGGCGCGGGCAGGCTTCTGTCTCGCCCGACCCTTCGTTCGGCTGCTCCGGGGCGGCCCGCTCGATAGAATGAGCGAAAGAAACGACAGACCGGCCGGCGGGCGGTCCGCCCAGCTGGCTCCCCCCGCCTGCGTGCCCAGGCCGGGTAAGGCGGGCCGGCAAACTTGCCAGCGAGCCAGGGGGGCCACGAGGTAAATCAGCGACACAACAACCAGGAGGGGGGGGGCGCGAGGCGGTTCGCCGGCTGTTTCTTTGCCGACCGTTTACGGCGTACGCGGCAAACGGCACACAGCCGGCCGGGCCGCGGGCCTCGTAGACCTTACCGAACGAGCCGCATCGGGGCAGCTGCGGCAAGAGCCTGCCGCCGGCGTTTCGGGCGTCGCCAAGCTTTGCCGCGGCTGTGACGCCCGGGAGCAACGACAGGCCCCGGGCCCGCCGGGCGGCTGGCCCTCCCAAAGACAGGCCCGGGCGGGTGCGGATGCATGGGCCCTCCCGATTTCCCCCCGGCCCCCCCCCGTTGCGCCACGTCCGCGCAAAGCACCAAAGGCAAAGCGAGGGCCCCCGCCTGCTGCTGAGCTGGCTGGGTGGGCAGCGCCAACCAGATCCGCGCGACGCTGCAGCAGCTTGATACATAACCCAAGCCCGCCGCGGCACATTATTCACTGCGACCCCCCGCGCCCCGCTCTTCTGCGCCCCGTCGCGTACCGCGCTCCGCCCTGATCCGGCCAATGGCGTCGCCGATTCTCTCCCTTCGGGAGAGTCGGGAAGGACTTCGGCGGCCGCTCTCTATTGCGCAGAAACCTGCAGCAAACCGGCGCGGGGCCTTCGCTTTCAGAGAAAACGCCCCGAGGGCTTTCGGAAGAAGTGCGCGCCCCGCCCGAGCGGCCCCCATTTTGTTGCGCCAAACGGCCGCCATTCCGTTGCGCAAATCAGCTGCCCCTCATTACAAATACAAATCAAGGGCACAAAATAAGAAGACAGAGAACGAAGACGAGGGGCGAACAGACGCGACGGCGTTCAGATTGTTGGAATTGCATTTGCTGCCAGCTCTGCTGGGCAACTGCTTGCACTAAGCTTCTTGATTATGTAACCGAACGGAAAGATGAAAAAATGATATTTCCAACTCAACAAGAATCGGGATTCTATGCAGCTTCTGCTTCTTGTTTTTTATCCTTGTGGGTGGTACTGTCCTGTGATTGAAACTTGCGCTGAAGATACTGGACGGGATACGCCAGCTCGAATTTGTAACTTTCAAAATTGAAGCTTCTCCTTCTACTTCTTCTTGTTGCTTTCTAGTAATGTACAAATGGTAAAATCGCGCTCATGGATTTTGCATGCTGTGACACTCCTCTGTCTCGCGTATGTCTACATTTTGGAATTGTGAGAAAGTAATATGGTACCAGGTGATGAAAAGCCTTATGCTACTTACTTAAAACTAAAACTCAAATTTTGGTTACAAAAAGATTGAAATGCAATTACTTACTTATTTTTCTGATACTATTTTGTAGAAGAGCAAATCAAACAGCACAACGCTACCTCTACACCACAAAGTCCGGCGCTGTGTTTGTTTTTCTCGCCGCTTCTCCGGGCGCGACGCCCTTCAAAATTTCTCGCGTCATCGGTCCACCGCCGTTGGAATTGGAATTTTTCATCGTCATCACCTGCGTTCCGCTGTCTAACGACACCCCCGTCAACTCCTTTCGTATCATGCCCGGCAGGAGTTCAAACATCTCCCTTTGGAATCTCTCGATCGTCTCCTGTAAGTGCTCCATCGACTGTTTCTGTTCCTCCGCGATGCGCTGCGCTTGGGATCTTTCCATGGTGGATCTTAACAATCGGCTTCGCTCGTCCGATTCACTGGCCGAACGGATCAACGCCACCAAACTCGGGGTGTTCAACACGTTGGTCACGAGTTCCATATACGTTGTCGACAACTCAAAGTGATCCAGCGACCCGGACCCATCCAGGTCCAAAGCCTCGAAAAATCCTCCCGCGTCCGCTTCGGTTAAATTCAATTGGTGAAACACCGAGACGAAGGTTTTGCAATTTTTCCAATTGGAAACGAAAAAATCCTTGGTCGTCTCGCCCACGTCCCCCGGAAAGGCGTACAGGTCGTGGATTGCGGACATTTTGGAGGAAATGTCCTCCGCCTCCTTTCTCGCCGCCTGCGCCCCGCGCGCGGTTTCCAACACCGCGACGGTGATCAGATTCATCAAAGAAAAACTTGTAACCGAGATGAACAGTAGGAACCAGAAGTAGGTCCAGATGTTCCCTTCGCCGAGCGGTTGCACCAAATCCACCCACCCGTCGAGCGTCATGATTTGGAACAAATAGACAAACGCGACGGACGTGTTTTCAAAATTCTCCTGCGCCTCGACAATCAGCGGGTCGTTGCCCATGTTACTTCGGCCAACCAGCACAATTGTGAAAATCGTGAAGAGGAAGATGATGATCATGATAAACACCACCGTCCAGAACAGCGGAGGTAATGAGTAGAAAAACAGCTCCACGACGCCGAACAGTTGCTCGACGAGAGTGACCACGCGGAGAACACGGAGAGCGCGCAACGCCCGGCACGAGCGGATCAAACGGATGGTTTCGTCTTCATCGGTAGGTTTGTTCCCAGACATGAAATTCCCCGCGAGAAGCGGTAACGCCAACTCCGTGATCATACCCGCGGCGACGATGAAACAATCCAACGCGTAAATTGGGGTCGTCACAATGTCTTTAATGCCGAAGACGATCAAGCGCAGGGAAAGCTCGAGGGTGAAGACGATCAGAAAGGTAAGGTCCAGAACCTGTGGAGTTCGTTGTTGGTACCGAAAGGTTTTTGTCATCTCATGCGTTTGCTGCACTTGCAGGAAAAGGAAAACAAAAGCTAGTAACTGTCATGCGTGACGTCAGCGTCACGTCGAATAGCATTGGTACTTATCGGAAAACTGAATGTGTACTAGTTAGAACAATTCTAAGCAAATAAATTTCGTACCTGAAACATGAAATAGCTGTCCTCAAGGTGTTTGTCGCTGAGCTGGTACTCTACTCCCATACAGATCGCGTTTACCACGATGACAAACCCGATGACGATGTCGAACCTCCGACTGGACACCATTTGGTACTTCCAGTCGTCTTCTTTCCCCTTTTTCGTGAGTTTTTTGAACCCCTTCTCCTCTTCCACCACCCTGATCCCCCCGTGGTGCCGCTTGCCATCGGAATGGGATTTCGATCTCTTGTTCTCGGAGTCCGTGCCGGTTTTGTGCGAGCCTTCAGACCGGGAGTCGTCCCCGCCACCGCCCCCGGGCGAAATTTTGTTACTGTCTCCACCTGCTTTGTTGCCCCCTCCGCGTCTGTGCAAGTGTCCGGAGTCTGAGTCTTTAGAGTGCTCTCTCGAGTTCGGGCTGGGTGGACGTTGATGAGTGTTGTTGTTCCCGGGGCTGGGTGGCCGTTGATGGGTCTGCTCTGGGTTCGCGTAGTGCACGCCGGCGGAATAGTGATTGTATGGGACCGGGACCTCGTTGTTCATCATGTTCATCTATCAAGTACAAATATGTCTGGGTCTGGAAACTTGTGATGCAGGAAAGGGAATAGTGAGCACACTGTAATGCGCTGCCCAGCATGACAAGTTTCTCCGTGGTTCTGAGTTGCGTACTCCGCGTGAAAAACTGCGCTTTTGCATGACAGACAAGAGGAGCTCTTCGCGGCCACGCAATACAGAGTTCAGAGTCATGCCAGACTACCATGACAAATCTCGCAGTCTCCCAGACCCAGACATATTTGCAGTTGATATCATCTGTGAGCCGTCGTTGTTTTCGTTTTCGTTCGAATTACCGCTGCTCGACCGCCAATCTAAATCTAACGCGTCCAGGGTTCGGGAGAACGCACCGGAGGACGCAGTAGAACTGGAAGATGAGGATTGGAAAAATTTGTTTTGACCCGGCTTAATATTTCTCGCTTTGTTATTTCCAGTTCCACTCTTGCTTCTGTGCTTCTTCATCGCGTGGTTTGCTTCCTGATCCACTTCAGCATATCTGTAGTGCTCACGGCTGGTGTAAAAATTATATTGCGAATGCTGCTGCGGTGGAGGTGGTGGCGGCGGCGGTGCACAACCATGTCTCTCTTGCGACGATGAGACCCTTATCTGGGTAGTTGTCGTATGTGGCCTGTAGCTCATCTGTGTCTTGTGGTCTCGGGGAATTGAGCCTGGAGGGTGCTGATGTTGTACGGGTGGTCTTATGCATTGGAAACATGTCTGGGTCTGGAAAGATGCAAGGTTTGTTATGCTTGGCTAACATGACTCTTAAGTCTGTCATGCGCCTGACCCAAATTCCCCACTTTTCTCTCATGCAGAAGCTCGCTTTGTCATGCAGAATAGACAAAACTGTAGTAGCTCCAAAACTTGTCATGCTTGGCAGTCAATTGAGGTTTTCTCGTCTTTCTCAACCAGCATCACAAGTTTCCAGACCCGGACACTTTTGCATTTGATAGGTCTCGCTTGCGGTTGTGGCGCCGGATACCAGCTGTCTTGTGTGGACAGGTCCTCAATTATCAAAGTGAAAAAAGCCCCCACCCCATATCGGAAACGGGAGATGCGCGAATTTGTGATGCTGTATTTGAGTACACAAATCGACTTGTATTGCTAGAAGGCCAAGAGACGAAGCTGCGGCCTAAATTGCAGGTAATCTGTCATGCTGTTTCCCCATTCCAGTTGCCTCGTGTCATCCTGGAGCTGCAAAATTTCCCACGCTAGACAGCACTACAGTCCGCATCTTTTGCCTTCTAGCATCACAAAGCTGATTTGTGACCCCAAATCTGCATCACAGATTTCCGTTTTGATATGGGGAGGGGGCATTTTTCATTGTAATATCAATCCTCTGCTCCTTCTTCGCCCCCGAGGGTGTTTTCATACTTGAGGACCACCTCGGGTCATTTTTCGGTGGCGCAATTCGAACTTTTTCTTGTCCCGATGGCGTGGAGCTCGGCCTTTGATCCTGCATCTCGATATCAATCGGATGTTGATGCTGTTGCTGTTGTCCGGTATGATCTCGTAAAAGTTTGAGTTTCTTTTTCTTGCTGGAGCTGCGCCTCGCGGTCGCCACACCCGTGTTGTTATCTTCCACCACCTGCTCGCCGCAGTGCTGCAGCTGCGCGCTCGGCTTCATGGCTGGTGGTGGTGGGGGTGGTCTATCTTCCCAAACAACTGAACCTGAAAGAGACCCTCACCCTGCTCACGCTCGATAGAGGATTGAAAAATGAAATGAAAACTTAATGAAATGGAAAATTTACTTTAAAAATTCAAACTTTGTACTTGATGTTCAGGGATTTGTATGGTCGTAGAGGAGTGTGTGAAAAATTGAAACTTCTAATGAAACTCGAAAAGCCGACGTTTTGCAGGCTCGAATTCGATGATGCAAGTAGGTGATGTCGTAAGAAGGATATTCTCACACAAGAACTACACTAATATCCTAGTATTGAATTATAAACAATAAATCTTGCTAAAGGGCAAAAATGAGGAAAGTGCTGGGCTGCTGCTTGTTCATTGAGAGTCCTGGTTTATTAGTAGTGTCGGAGCCTTTCATTCAAACTGAAACTACGCAAATAACAGACAGGAACTACACATAAGCTGCAATTACGAGTACGTAGACGTACGCATCGCTTTCAAGTAATAAAGCCATGCACTGAGACTTAAAAATTGTACGGCCGCAACACATACACGATGCGAGTTGTTCTTCATGTACGAGACTGCAATACGAAGACCGAAGAAATGCGTATTATTATTATTTCTTGTTTCGGACGACCACAATAAGGAAGACACATTAAGTGCAACGCTTGTTTTTATCCACAGACTTTCATGATGCAACGTAGCTTCTGACGATGTATCTCTATCTTTCAAATTATAACCGACAGGGCTACTTGTGCCACAACTACTCAAGTTTGTTTTTCTTGAAGCCACGAGGACGACAAATAGCAGCTGCAGGACCGTGAGACGAAACCGAAGACAGCGTGCTTATTTTCCGGTAACAGCAGCAGCATACGTAAGTGTAAAGCGATGCAAACCGACTTCGGTTGTACGTGCCTAAAAGCACACGCAGGATAATTCGGTTCGATTTGTGGTTTATGGATGCTTTATGGTTTCGCTTTTGCACTTGAAACAACAAAACATGCCCCTGCTGCTGCACTCTGGCAAATAAAGCGACGTGACTCAGAAAAATGTATGTTAAATAACTTTGTCGAATGATAAAAAGGCAATTTTGTGAATGTGAACTGTGAAAAATGATACGAATAAGGATATTAAGCTTGGTTGCTGGAGCGATAGACGGGTTTTAAAACTAGTACTATTTAAGTTAAGTCAAAGGCAAAGCTATTCATTGCATGAGTGTCGAACGAGTTCGAGAGGACCAGATTCGGGGAATTGATCGGAGAAGAAAAACGGGAAAGGGCATGTCTGAGCTTCTATCTAAGTAAGCACTTATCATGTGGTGGAATTATAGGGTGTTGTGAACATCATTCTACAGAAGTAGAGCACCAGAGCTGAGACAGCGTCAGCCTCGCGCCCGAAAAAGCAAAATCAAACTATCCACTTGCCACCACTCTTGAGGGCTTGCTTCTTGGCGGACAGGAAGGGAGCCACGCCCGCCTTGCCATCGACACCCACCGCGGAGCGCGCAACGGGTTGCAGAAACGACGACGAGCTGCTGCTGCTGCTGGTGCTGCTGGCGCTCGCAGAAGTTTGTCCTTCAAGGTTAAACATGTCACCGCACTCCCACGAGGTAATCTCCACCTGGCCACCCTCTATCAACTGTCATGTACGTTTTGCATGAGCCCTGATGTCTGTGATGCATGCCCTAGCATCACAGATTTTTTGAGAGCCTCCTGATGCCTATTCCGCATGACAAATGCCCTCTCCACGTAGCAAAAATTACATTCCTTTTGGTACTCATGCAATACAGATTTTTCTGGAATCCAAATGCAGCATCACAAGTTGCATTCTTCCAGACCCAGACACTTTTATATTTGATACCCTCGCCGTTTATCCCATAGCCCTTCCGCGTGACCGTGACCACGTCTCCGTCTTGCGCAGCCCCCTCCGTTCCGCCCGCAAACGGCAATTCAGCCGCGAAGGCCTGATACGTCGCGCTCCCGGTGCCGCAACGGATCCAGCACCTGGCCGAGGTCGCCCCGTCGTGATCGTCGCCAAAGTCCAATTTGCGGAAGGCCTTGGTCAGGGATGAGGCCGTGGTCACGGTACCCGAAAACGCCAGCGGGCCGTTGCTGGTCGTTTCCAGATCGCCTTCGTTCTCGCCGTATGCATTGCAAAAGTATCGTACTAGTATAAATTGCATCACAAATTTTGGCAAGAACAAAAGTGGAATTTGTAAAATGCTGTTTTACTTTAGGCAGGAGATTTGTCATGCATATTTGCAATTAGTACGACTACGATACTTTTGCACAGGATACGCCGATCGCAAACCGCATGTTCTTCTTCCTGCAAATTTGGGTAAAATCGGTGGCGTTCACTGTGTTTGGAAACCGGACGCCGCCTGTCTCCCGGCACTTGTTCAAGATCCGATCCAGGTAGTCACTCGACAGAGGGTTGAAAACCGCGTCAACAGAAGCGGGTAAAAATCCCGTCAGGCTGGTGAAGACCACAACGCAGTGGAGCGCGGCGGTCGTGGACCACGTGGTGGTCTTGTTCTTCATCTGGTGCACGACCTGCGCGTGCTGTTGCTGTTGTCCGCGGCGAGACATAGTCATTTTGGTCGATTCGCTGAAGAGACTTGTTCGAGGGTATTTTATTTCATGGACTCACTCACCACCGAAGTGGGTGCCTTCGCCTGAGCCGGTGAACAAGAGAACACTAAGGCCCCAACTTCTTCTTTTTCTTCCACGTTCACATTTTCCTTTTTTCAATCTTCTTGCTTTTTGTTTCTTGGTCTTTCTAAAATTCAAACTTGTCCTGCGTTTTTCCTCTCCTCTTCAAATCTGTAATGCGTATTGTGTAGTTGGACTTTCGAGAGCTGTTAACTGACGGGTCGAAAAATATATATATCCATATTCTTGCCTACCGTGATATCTTTAAGCGGAAGGTCTACTACACAATAATGGGTCCTGTGCATTACAAACTCTAAATGGCATCAAATCTGTAATGCTAGTGGCCTTACCGCACGTAAATGCCATCACGTTATTTTTGCATTACAAATCCCGTTTTTCAAATCTGTAATGTTGTTATGCGTGAAGTGGTAATTTTCAATGAAGAGCTGAAGAGAGAACAGCAACAGAAATTATGTTGGCTCGTCGTGGTTAATGTCGATAATGATGTCTTTTTAGAGCAGCCACCGTGTGGCGTCTCGTTGTGTTCGTGTTGAAGTGGTAGGAGACAGATAGAGAATTTTCAAAGCAAATGGAGGCTATTCTTGCAGCTGAAGGGCCAGGTCCTGTTTATTTTACGAATAAACAAGAACTTTGACTTTGAGATGGGCTGTGTGCCTTTATTTTTCGCACAAATTATTGTTATTCGTAAGAGAACTTACGCACGACACGAAAAGAATCGAGTTGACCACGCAAAAACTTCCAGTTCCTTGACGAAACCGAAAACCGCAAAGGGCAGCTTGTTCGGCAGAACGACCACGACGGGGAGAGAATCACAAATAATTCTGCTTACTGTTACACGAATTTCGAATAAGTAATTTTGAACGAGCCTCCGGGTCTGCATATGAATATGATGGTAAAAACGAAGACAAGTGAATGATCGCCGGTCCGAGGTCTTCATCAAGGTTGTACTATCGCATCACAAGATCGAACGAAACGAGAAAAGCAAACGAGAGGAGGGGGAGAGGCGGTGACTGTGACGTAGAGAGATAGCATTGTTAGGGGCTATGTAGTCTTCTCGTCTGCAAGCATTAAGGGAACAAGGAGGACAACCACGACGAGTAGAACCACAGCAGCCAGTCAGAAGTTGCACGGTAGCGGCTGCAGTAGTCCTACTGACGTGTACTATTGTTGCAGCGGTTCATCAGTTTGAATTTGATGACCTCTGCTGGTCGTGGTGCTGCTGGTGGACCAAGCAGTTGTACCAGTTGTACGGGAATAATTGCCGACCTATTTATAATTTGTTCTTGATGTTCTTGCGTGGAGGTTCCGCGGGTCGTCTTGACGACCGTGGTTGGTCGTGATTATTATACATACTGCAGGCCAAGTAGTAGATTTTTTTTTTAATCTTTTTGGTTTTGCTAGATTGAGAAACAAAATTGCGCTTTTACTTCTGTAGGAATAGGAATCTTCGTCGTGGACACGTCGCGGCTTCTGCTATCATGAACAATGGGATGAACAAGAACATCAGCAGCGCAGCTGTATATCTACTTTTCCAGAAGTTGCACAACATAGAACAATATGTCTTAACTCAAAGAACATCATCACGGCAAGGGCAGGGCTGTCGTCGATGTAGTGTCAGAGGAACTTGGCTCTCCCGTTGTCGTCGTTTCCGCTGCGGCAGCACAGCGCTCTGCCTGTTTGCTCTCCGAGAGACAGCAGTGTCCCGCGGCCAACCCGCCCGCGTTTGCCCGGCAGGAGTGAATTTGCCCGGAAAGTAAACTCACCGGAGCTTCCGTACCGGTGCCTTCTCCCGAGTTCGATATGTGGATGATCAGAACCTATGGATTGCAAATTGTTTTTGGTCTGGGTCACTGGAAAATTATCACAAGTTTCATACATGGCTCTGCTGCTGGCCAGAAGACTTTGACTTTCGTCGGCAAAACAACACAAATTTTTGATCATCGGTTACTTCTTTTATGCAGTGCGTATTGCGCATGCGCATGACAAATCCTGTTCGTCCTGCGTTCAGGCGGGCAAGGGACAAGCATCAGTACGTGTTGCTCCAAGCATTACTACAACCACTACAAGAACTCCTTGCATTTTTGATTTCGTTCCAGACCCAGACCAATAATTTGCAGGGCGTAGCACCATTACGTAGACCGCCGCTGTGATTCCGCAGGCGACCTGTACTTTTCCCTCGCTGCCCCGATTGATATGACAATGCACAACTCCCCTTCGTCCCCCTCATTTGTAATGTAAAATATTCAAGTCAACCCTTTTATCTTTGGCACTTCTTGCATGACAGGTTCCGGAAGCCGGAACAGAACCAGAGTCGGTCGCGAACTTGTCATGCAAAAGCTGCATGTATGAGTATGCCAGCGCTTGCGTTGCTGTTTATATCCTTCAAATGAGGGGGAGGGGAGGCTGTGCACTCGGATACTTGACCACGTTTCGACAGAACAGCGCTGCGAACAAGAGCCCGCAGATGGCGCCGCCCATGTGCGCGGAGTGGGACACCCCGCCGCCGTCCATCGACTGCACAGTAGAAAAGGACATCATGAGGACGAAAGTTAAAATAGTGGCCAAAAACACGTAGGACTGCCGCATCTTCAGCGTCTGTTCGTGGTTGAAGTGGAAATAGCGGTGGTCATACTCATATGGATTGCAAAAGTGTCAAGGTCTGGAAACTTGTAATGCTGCGTTGGGAATAATGAATGTTCTGTAATACACAGCCAAGCATGAGAAATAAGTATCTGCGCTTTTTTGTGTACGTGTTGCGTTTTTCGCATGACAAACTGCGTTTTTGCATGACAGGTGGCGAAGAAGTCTTTTCTTGGACACGCATCACAAACTTTTTGGTCATGCCAGAAAAGCATGACAAATCTCGCAACCTTCCAGACCCGGACATTTTTGCATTTGATAACTCGTGCCAGTTCATAGCGAGATTCGCGATCTGCATCGCCACCAGTCCGTAGGCATAGCCGGAACTCCCGACCACGAGTTGCGTTGGGTCTTCCGCTATCAAATGTAAAAATGTCTGGGTCTGGAAACTTGTGATGCTGGGTGGCGTCTCATGATGAGGCTACAGATGCTGGCTCAGCATGACAAATTTCTGAGCTCCTAGGTGTTGCCTATTCTGCATGACAAACTGCGCTTCTGCATCACAGAAAAACGCACCTCTTGGGTAACGTGCATGACAGATTTAAGAATCATGCCAGACAAGCATGACAAACATGAATTCTTCCAGACCCAGACATTTTTACAGTTGATATCCGCGGCCGTGGTGAGACTGCCGCCGAGAATGGCCAAAAGCACCAAGGGCAGCATGCGCGCGGTGCCGTGCACCATTTCCAGACTCGGGCCAAAATATCCTGTGCAAAAGTATCGTACTCGTAGTAATCGCAGTCATGCATTACAAATCTACTTGTTAAGGTAAATCCGCATTACAAATTCAATTTGTAATGCTGAGCCAATTTGTATTGCGATTTATACTAGTACGATGCTTTTGCACTCCTGCATACAAAAAGGAGTTCGAAAATGATGTTGTTCAAAAGGTGCCCGGTATCCGTGTGGGCAAATGCGTAGGAGACGTAGCGGATCGCCTCACTCCTGATGTCGACGAACCAGGGACACCCACTGTATTCGAAGGGCTTCTCGGTGAGGAAGCAGGTCCGGTTTTTGAACGCCCGAATTCCGTACTTGAGATTGTAGTCCCGTAAAGAATCCTCGGTCTTGTTTGCGACGGCGTAAAACATGAAAATCTGAACCACCGGGTAAAGTACCGAGACGATGGGGTAGAAGTGCATGTCCAGCTCCTTCCTGGCCACCTCGGAGGACGTCTCGGACATGTTCACTTTGTTCCCATAGTGGTCGTGGTGGTCTGGTTCATACCACTCAGATATCCTGCGTAAAAACGTCCTCCCCACCTTCGCAAAATTGTCATGCTAAACAGAAGTGCGGCACACTTTGCCTCCCCCTTTGCAAACGGCCGCAGATGGCTGTCACGCAGGGAAGGTAGGTCAGGTGGGCACCGAAGTGCCATCACCATCATCTCCCGGCCACTATACCAACTCGCCAACTATACCAACTTTTTTGCCTCACACTTTCGCCAACAACGCCAACAATCCTTACTCGCGACACATATAGAAAGCACAACCAGGACACCAGCAACAAGGATACTGGACCCTGCAGCACGGCTTTCATGTTAATCTATGGATAAATCACATACGCCAAAAACATAGAAGAGAGCGCTGTTTAGCATGCAAAATCTGCAAGATTGCGCTGTTTCGCAAAGTTGTCATGCAAATCTGTAAGCCTAAACCATCTTTCATGCACAGCCCGATGAGAGCCTCCATTTTCTGATGCTATCTGGAAATTTGTAATGCTAGAATCAGCATCGGGCGATTAAGTTGTGATGCAGCGAGCTGTAATAGCTAAACGCAATTACACTGCGAGCCCGAACTTGTCATGCGCGACAGCCAAAAGCTGCTGGTTTGTGTAGCAAAATCCCTATCTTGACTCTGGCATCGTGGGGACGTCGTTTTCACACAGGATATCAGAGGGATCTTGTTTCCCTTTCCCTTTTTTCCCACCACCTTTTCCCGGGCCACCACCTCCCTTCTTCGCGGCGACCTTACCAAACGGATCCGCCGTCATGGGTGCAGCATTATACCCTCCTGGTTGTCCTGCCATGCCTTTATTATAGGGAGTAGGTCCCCAACCGGGTCCGCCCATCGGGGGTATCGCTTCTCCCTCGCTAGTGCCGTGCTTCGGTGCATACCCTTTTTGTGCTGCCATGCCTTTATGTGTGGTTCCCCAACCTCCACCCTTTGCGGGTCCGGGGGGCATCGCTTCTCCCTCGCGAGTACCGTGTTTCAGTGAATAGGAATACCCTTTTTGTGCTGCCATACTGCTTTTATGGGTAGTACTAGTTCCACCCCAGCCTTTATTTGCAGGTCCGGGTGGTCCACCGCCCATCATCGGGGGCATCGCTTCTCCCTCGCTAGTGTAGTGCTGGGCCGCAGCACTTCTACTCCAGCCGTGCGAGTGCGCGGCATGCTGCTCTAAAAAAGCACGAGTCGTCGGATCGACATCATGATCGTCTGTGCCTCCCTCCTCGATTATGAGCGCATCTACCCCTGCAGCTTCCCCCTCCGCGTGATCATGTAGCTCTAGTTGGCCAAGGCCAAACGTCTGTTGAGTCTGCAATAACTTGACGCTCCGCGGCTCGTCCTGCTCGGATGTTTTTCTCTTCTCACTTTCACGAGTAAGAAGCTGTAGGCCCCCGAAGTTGTTAGCGTTTGATGCAAATAGGTCTTCACTTCGTCCTTCCTCTTTCTCCGCGTCGTGTGCCTCTTCTTGCCGCAGCTGTAATCGATCGCCCGGCTGTTTCTTTCTGGTGGACCGTCTAGAAGTTGTACCAGAAGTGCTAATATGATCACCGCCCGGCATAGAACTTGATCTTCTTGTCGTGTCTTCATGATCACCTACTTCAACACCTGACCCGGTTCTTCTTGCAGTGGCTCGAACTGCGCTTGTGGTCCTTGCGGTCTCTGTTGCTCGGGAAGATGAAGACTGTCTTGCTGCATGTGCGACGTGCGCCCCACCAGCAGTACTTCTCGAAGCCATTCTTTGTTGCTCGTCTTGGTATTCTAAATTCTCCACGATCCCCTGCTTCAGCGACTTTCTGGTTAGAGCCTCAATTCTACTTGAAGAAGACGTGGCTCCTGCGGTCGCACGCCCGGCGGCAGATGTTGCCGACAACGACCCTCCTGCTGTGCGGCTACTATGATGTTCTCGCGCGGTACTTGTAGTTCTGGCGCCGTGTGTGCTTCGAGCAGCCTCCTCCTCGGCGTCGTTGTCTACAGGTTCGAGTCCCGTTGCTCTACTCCCCTGAAGCTCCTGCTGGTGGCGCTGCACTTTTTCTTCAGATTCGGTCCTTACAACTTCCGAGGAGTCCTCGCCTGTTTCACCCCCGGTTTTGAGTGCCGCGGCCCATCCCGCAGTCTTGCTTTCCAACATTTGTTCCCTGGCATATTGCGTCTTCGCCGTCCGGATGGCCCTCTCACTCGCCCGGGCCGTCCTTCGCGCGGCCGCGTCCGTGCTCCGCGCTTTGGCTCGCGCCTCCTGCGTCCGGCGGGCCATGATGCCGGCAATGGCCGACGTGTTGATGCCCTCTCCCTCCGGCTTCGGGGCCCCCCACGTCGACCCGCCGGGCCGGCGCGGGGGCGTGAAAGATGTTGAGTCCTCGTCGTGGGCTCCACCGAAAGGAATAATCGCTAGCTCGGTTGATGCAGGTGTACTAGAGGTGGCCAAAGATGACCTTCTTGCTGCAGAAGCAGCACCTACACCGCCGCCAAAGTGCATTTCCTCAAAGCTCTCCCAGGTCGCATCGGCCTGCTCTCTCGCTTGGTCCAAAGCGGCGGCCTTTGAGGATTTTCTCGAGGATGTAGAAGTTCCACTTGATGAGCCCCTGTAATTCACGCGGTACGAAACGTGGGCGACTACATCTTTCAACCTATCCAGCGCCGCACTGGACCGGGAAGATCGTGCGGCGATGCTGTTTTTCGCGGATGCACCCGCTCCCGCCCTCGCCAATAAACTGGGGTTCTTCACCACCCCGACGTGGTGGGAATCGGTGGGGAACCTCGCCTTTCTGTATTTCTCCTTCCGAGCTTTTTCTTTCTCTCTAATTTCCTGCTGAATCTCTTCGTGGTGGTCCGGATCCCGGTAGTGCACCTTATGCCCGTGCGCGAGACTCGTGTGGAAGTAATGGAGCGCGTTAAAAATGTCTTTAAAGATGTTTCTCTTGTTGTTCGTCGACGCCTGCTCCGCTTCTATTCTTGTTTCCTGGTTCTGCTGTTGCATGTGCTGGTGGTACATGTGCATGTGGTTTCGCAGCGTGTCCCAGTAGTGCTGATCGTGTTGATCATCGTGTTGATCATTATAATGGTCATGGTCTGCTCTTGTTTCATCATCATGATCATATCCATAATCATGATCCTCGCCATGGCCATGATAAAACCCGTCGTCAGCCGCGACCCCATCATGAAAGAATTCTTCTTCCTCTCCTTCCACGTTGTACAACTCGTCTGCGTTGTAGCTCCCATGGTCCTCGTCGTGCCCGTCGTACACTACTGGGACGATGGCGTGTTTTTCATCTACTCCCTGACCTTGCTCTTCGGAGGACTCCCCGCCTTCTATCAAAGGCGCGTTGCCCGCGACCTCGTGGTGCGTGGAGCGACTCGGCGAAGAAAGGTCGTGGCGGGAGTGTTGACGTGGCTGTTTCTGTTTTATAGTTTGTCCAGCATGAAGATGTTCTTGGTCCTGTGTGCGATCACCAGTACTGGAAGTTTTCGGCGAAAAACCACCACCTCCAGCTGTTGCCTTACTGTTGTTTCCATGCGTGCTATCTCCCGCGATGGGCCAGTCTATGGTCTCGTGGTGGTCAATATCAAATGTAAAAATGTCTGGGTCTGGAAGATTGCGAGATTTGTCATGCTTGTCTGGCATGACTCTTAAATCTGTCATGCACATTACTAAAGAGCCCCACTTTTCTGTCATGCAGAAACGTAGTTTGTCATGCAGAATAGGCAACACCTAGAAGCTCAAAAACTTGTCATGCTGAGCCAGCAATTGCCGCCTCCTCATGATACGCCACACAGCATCACAGGTTTCCAGACCCTGACATTTTTACATTTGATAGTCAAGATCTTCGTGGTCCTCGTGAGCGGGCCAGGAGACATGACTCGCATCGAGATCTTCGCCAGGAGAATGCTTGTCGTTTGTCGAGGGGGCAGCTCCTGCAGGAGGAGTTTCGGTTTGCTTTGCGACCTTGCCCTGATTTTTTGTCGTCGTCTTGATGTTCCCTGCTACTGCTGGTGGCAGGGTTTTCGGTAGGGAACTTGCAGCTGCTACTGAAGTGGTTGAGGATTTTGGGTTTTTGATATTTTTACCAGCCGACGCTGATGTTGCTGTTGCTCCCCCGCTTTTGCTATCCGCCCCCGTGCTACCAGTATTTTGTTGTAGTACTATCTTCGGATGTTGAACTACATTCTTCGCCACCGTGGCCACGCCAGAGCTGTGGGCCGCGAAACCAACTTTCGTCTTTGCTTTCGGTTGAAACGCAGGAGCACCCGCTGGGGTTTTCTTTTTCGTCGGGGCGTCGGGGAGGCGGTTGTTCGCGTTCAGGCGGTCGGAGGGTTTTACGGCTGGGGAAGTTGTAGGAGAAGTACTCATGATGGTTGTGGAGGGATGCGGATGGTTTTTAATTTTGAAAACTTTAACTTATTAAGTCAACATGGACATCATCAGGTTCAGGATCAGGAAGTTTTTGGAGGGGGGCCACATCTTGTTTTTGATGAAGTAGGCTACTGTGGGAGGGCTACAAATTTTTGCTTACTTAATTTACTTACAAGTCTTGGAGTTGGGTGGGTAAAGCTATAACACAACATAATGATAGCCTTCGTAGCATACACATGGGTATTAACACAGTGGTCATGGTCCTGTATTACTAGCTATATGGACGACAAGACGCGTTATTGAGAACAACTACGAAGATGAAAAACAAACAGTAATATAGGACGTATGGAACGACGACTTCCTGCTACTACGCGTGCTTGTGTTCCTTTATTGTCAGAAGCGAACTACGATAGCACGCACGAACGACGAACAACACTTGGGCGCACGATGAGAACCGAAAAATATACTAATGCTGCTGCGAGGACGGTTAGACCGAGTACCACCGGGGAATAATGTGCACGACCAGCATAACCATAACGGTCCGACGAGTCATCAAAAGAAGTATTTTTTCCTCATTTGTTTGTCAGAGGACAGGACGAGTGCGACAATTAAACTGCACGCCGCTCCTACGTCGTTTTTCACCAAATTACAGCACGAACCGCCTACGCTCTTTTGACTTTTGTCCGCACACGATGAGATGAGACTCCATCTCATTTGTGAACCGCAGTCAGAGCAAGACCGAGGACTCAAGTCGTGCTACCGAGGTTTTTAGTCGTGCTACCGATGCAGATGCACTGTGGAAGAGCGCCAAGAACGAGAATGACTGGCATCCTTTGCAACACGTCTAGCATAAGGATAACGCCCTTGCACTCTTCATCAGGCAGCGCAGGCGCTTTGGATAAGCATAAGTTCTATGTTGGTCCATCTGACCACAAGTAGCTTCAAATCTTTCAAAAAGAAACTCTACAAAATTGAAATCGATTCATTGCATTTTTGACATCTACCCGAGATGTTCTTTTGGTGGTTTCGGTATGGGTGCGCGTGCGTGGACGTGTAGACAGGAAAAGCTCGAAACGAAGAAAATATACGGACGAAACGGAAAAGGATAGGTATTTTTTTTTTGAATAAGGTTCACACTCAGGTTGGTAGGTATGATCGGCGTGTAGCAGCTGCTGCAAAAAGGGGAATTCTAGAACTATTGCCTTTCGTACCCATACGACGTAGTGGAGTACTTAGAGGCTTTTATTCTCCTCCTGATTACGTTTAGGCGTTGATTTTTTGATACTATTTATTCCCTGGTCCAAATCTGTATGTGAAAGGAAAGTCCTATCTTTCATCGTGAATTTCAAGAAATAAAGCGTGCCAGCGGTCACAAAAAGACTACTTTTCGGTCGCTAGTCGGCTCCTCCTTGACCGCTCATCTTGAAGATGTACTAAGAATGAGAGATAATGTTCTTTCTGTTGCGATTGCGAGGCTGCTGCACCTTCAACTATCCTGTTGTTTTGCGGCAGCAGCGCCCGCGCGGCCTAACTAGCCGCGGTCAGCGCAGCAGCTGCGCGCAAATTTTCAGGACGTCGAGAGCAGGCAACCACAACCAGCAGGAAATAGACAAAAATGCAACAAAATGCAACGCTTCGTACTTGTAGTGCCAAAAAGACAATGCCAATGGATTGTAAAGTCAACATGATCTGCTTCATGCTATACAGGTATCAATATCGCAGATGCTGGGATATTGAATTGATTAACCCCAGGTGGCAGGTTTAAGCAATTTAGTTTGGAATAAATCTGTTAGTGGAAAAATTCGATGGAAACCTGTCAATATCTTTTAGAGAGAAATTCGAAACACGACCCCTCCAGCCCTCGGGAGGATTTGGAGGTGTTGCAATTAGAGTAAAAATAGAAGGCAGGTGTCATGCGCACCACGTGCACGCTTCTTAGCAATGGTACAGGGATATGTAGACTACCCTGCACGACCTACGAAGCCCTGCACTCAAACTTGAGTCGACCTTCCAGGCTAATGCGGCGGCGCGGCACTTGTGCGCCATAGTGCCGGGCCAGGCGGTGCTTCTACTTGTATAGGGTCCTCTTATTCTTGTGGAAAGCAGCTACATAGCATCAGTATCGTAGGCGGGGTAGTGCACGTTGCGGGTAAATTTTCAACCCATAAAATTCCTGTTTGCGTGGGTAGAGATGCCGAGATAAAAGTAGTGGGGTAGTAACTTATCGCGGGTTTTTCAGTAGCTCTAGGTTCTGTAGGAAAATATGCTGTTAGTTTTTGAAGAAACATGACGTTTTTCAATGAAATGTGCTAGCTTTCTAGAAAACAAGTTTTGTATTCTCGATGTTCGAAAAGTAGAAGAAAGTAGCGCTACAACGCTGTCCCTTGTTCACAGCGACGGTCTTGCCACCTGTTCCAACGCTTTCGACACATCCTCCAAGCTTGGGCGCGAGGGCGGGTGCTGTTTTTTGGATACCTGGCTGGCGAGGGCCGCGTATGCTGTTGATGCGGTACTAATACCCTCTTGTCCTGCAGCGCCAGCGGTTGTGGGAGTTGTTACCATCAAAGCGGAGTTTGTATTGCTGAGAGGACCGCCACCGGCGCCATGGAAAGTCGTCGTTGACCCGCCACTATCAAATGTAAAAGTGTCTGGGTCTGGAAGAATGCATGTTTGTCATGCTTGTCTGGCATGACTCTTTAAATCTGTCATGCACGTTACCCAAGAGCTCCGTTTTTCTGTGATGCAGAAGCGCAGTTTGTCATGCAGAATAGGCAACACCCAGGAGCTCAGAAACTTGTCATGCTGCGCCAGCACTTGTGGCCTCATCATGAGACGCCACCCAGCATCACAAATTTCCAGACCCAGACATTTTTACATTTGATAGCCACTACCAGACGACGCCAGCGTGCTCGTGTTACTGGGCCGGTCCTCGAAGAAGGCTGTGCTTGTATTGCTCGTCGTGCTTGCATTGCGCAACAGCATAATTTCAGTACCCTCCTTCGTCGGCGAGGAGGAAGAGGAAGATTCGACTTTGTTGAAGTAATGATCCCGAGAGGAACTTGTCGTGCTTGTGAACTCTACCTCTTTGGCCTTGTCGAGATCCTTGTTCCTGTCTTCATTTGACGTAGATGAAGCGTCGCTGCTGCGCTTCTCTTGCTCTTGCAGTCCTCCAGCAGTTTTATTATTTTCCATATTTTCCGTTTCCGATCCACTGGACAAAATGGTCTGAATCACCGGCCCGGACCGCAGACAGAAGTTCAAAACTAGTGCGCAAGCGTTGATTATCGTGTAGCACAGACAGCCGATGAACAACTCGATCATATGCTGTGCAAAAATATCGTACTCGTATAAATGCAGGTCTTGCATTACGTCAAGCTCAAGGCAAATCAGCATTACAAATTTTCTTTCTCGTGCTGAGAAAATTTGGAATGCATTTATACGAGTACGATACTTTTGCAGTTCATAGATCACGTTCGCCACCAACAACCCCTGCAGCATCCAGCTGGCCGCCGCGCACACCGCTTATGAAAGCCTCAGAATGGAAATCCTCAAAGTGGAAATAATTTGTGATGCATGAAATGCGACGCAAAAAAGACTGCATTGCAGAGGATGCAATGGAGGCCGACTATTGTCCTGCTAGGGGTGAAGAATTGGAGTGCTGCTTAGCACGAGAGAAGGACACCCCTTTGCCTTAATCTGCATGACAGACATGCTTTAAGTGCCCGGGAAATTTGTCATGCGCCGACTACAAACTGAAACTGCGCTTCAACTGGAGTCGTTTTTTTGCATTACATACAAATTATACTTTGAGGATTTCCAACCTGAGGCTTTCATACCGCTGCGAAGTTCATGGTAAGCGACCCCAACGCTTCCGGCTTGCCTTCCCGAATCGCCGTCGCCATCCCGAACAAAGCGGAGGTATAATACGGGACGCCGAGCACGCTGGCCCAGGTCGCGCAGAGACCCGCATCTTCGACCCCGAGAAAGAAAATGCAGGCAAAAATGATCAGTACCGCGACTACCAGCTGGGCGAGGAACTGGTGGTAGTACCTGAAGATAAACATTTGTTTTTTGCGCATGAAATGATGAGAAAACGGCGCAGGTACTGAGTTCATCTTGGGGCTAGTACTTCTAGTAGAGCATGCTAAATTATGTTTCCTCAATAAAGCAGTAGAAGGTCATCAAGGTCCTCGAGAACAAGCAGCTCTATAAGTACTTACCTGTCCCGGTCGTAGACCAGCGGGTAAATCATTAAATTCACCACCTATGCATTGCAAAAGTATCGTACTAGTAGAAATTGCATTACAAACTGGCTCAGCATTACAGATGCAATTTGTAATGCGGATTGACCGTGATAACTAGATTTGTATTGCATGACTGCGATTCCTACGAGTACGATATTTTTGCACAGGATACCACCCCCGCAACGGCAATCGGAATCGACACCCCAATATAAAGCGCGTCTTCTGCTGCGATGGAGAACAAAACCCAAACAGTGATCGCGGGCAGCTGCGCGGTGATGGGGAGCGGTATGGCGTTCTCAAGCGTTACACTCTCAACTGTTACATGAATTTGTAATGCAAGAGTGGTAAAAGTGAAAGGAGGAGGATTGCGCCTTCTGCATTACAGATTTGGGACGGATTATAGTGCTCTTTAGCGCGTCGAGAAGTTGTCATGCAAAGAAGGCTTGGTCGTGTGAATAGTGATAGTGGTTTTGCATGACAAATCATGTACCTATACAGTTGAGAATGTAACGTTTGAGAGCCCCATAAGCGGCGGTAAGTCGATGGGAACCTTGATGGAATCGCAGTAGTCGGTGAGGAACTTCTTCAGGTTGACCGAAGAGATGATGTTGAACCAGGAAGTTGTTGTGTGTTCTAAACGACTCGCCGATCCTCCTTGCTTTGATGAAAATGAAGCGTCTTGTTTGGTTTTACTAGCGTTATCCGACGTGTTGTTTACCTTGTTCTGCTGCATGATATCTGTCTTCTCCTCCAAGAGCAGCTTCGATGCCGAAGTCGGTGAGGAAGTAAAAATCGTGTTTCTGCCTGAAGAACCTCCGCGAGACGAAGTAGGTGTGGAGCAGCAGGATGAAGATGAACTAGCAGTGGTATTCACAGCAGCTCCGTGTGGAAATGGAGCTCCAGTCTCTTCAACTGCATTCGGCTCTACAACGGGTTCTGCAGACGTCGCTGCCGCCGGCTCTACTGCTGCGTCTGCTTGATGTGGCGAAGTAGTAGAGCAGGGCCCGGCTACTTTGTTCAACTCGGATCTTTCATTATCGGACTTCTTTGTTCTCGTACCAGTTTTATTCTGTTGTTTCGATGAGGCTTTTATAATTCCGGATGACGACGTTGTGTACAGCGAATCAGATGCTGAATCGCCCTTCCGTTTCCGCATAGTGCAACAGAAGTACTTTTTGTAGAAGGCGGGAAAAAGTAACGACAGCGCCGCGCTCCATCCCATGAAGACCGGAAAAATAATCGTCGTGATGTCGACGTAGATGCGCCCGGACTCCATTTTGTATTTGAAGATGCTTGTGTCCTGTGTCCCTTGTTAAACGTAAACCTAAAGCTATTAAAGTTGTATTCTCTGGTCCCCCGCCCCGAAGACTACCTACCTCCCCGATTTCCACCAGAAAAAAAACGCGACTCTAGGTTGTTGTTCATAGATTCTACTACTTCATCAGCTGCGAGACTTGCCATTGACATTGTCGAAGAGCAGCTGAAGCGGTGGTTTATGTAGTTTACTTTAGTTTCATCGCTTTCGTATTCAAGAAGTAACGAGGAGGTCGGAGTTGTTGTGTCTTGTCAAGAAAGCTGTAGCATCTACTCACATACTCAGAGGACTCACTTCGCACATCCGTCGCGTCTTGCCGGTTACTTCTAGTAGTGGTTAGTGTGTTAATTATATGCGTGGTAAGTGACCTGTAAAGATGTTAAAAGCAAAGGCAGTTACATCTTCTGTGGATGTACTAGAACTAGAAATTCCAGGCCGACCTTGTTCCTCTTCTTCACTACTGGAACTTCCAAAACACGACCACGAGCTTACTTACAATGAACAAAAGAGGACCGAATGATTTTTTTTTCTCGTTCTTCAACACGACCGACCACGCTCGATCTTTCTTTCTAGTGCAGAAAAAAACCTAGAGTCGATCATGTAGCTAGCAAAACAAATATCAATTACCGAAGGAAAAAGTGAATTTGACCGAGCGACGGTGGGACTGCGACACCGATAATAAATCGCTCAACTGAAGACGAGTAGATGTTGCACATTACAAGATGAACTCTCAAATACTGGTGGCGACCCTGACGTTGGCCGATCTTCATCACCCAAAATAAAACTAGTCCGCTTCAAAATCGAATTCGCAAACGAAATCAATCATGCATGATTTAGCTGGATGAGTAATTTTACCGTCAAATACAAATCCGAAGCTCACCCTGACAGTTGTATTCTCAAGAGCTTGTAATTAGAAGAGTATTGGAATTTTGCAATCTGATTCAGGGTCAAGTCGGGTACCAAGAATCGCACCTGCCTGCCTCATAATGGAGCAAAAATTTAATATATCGATGCGATAAAACTTCAAAACACATTATAGGAAATGAGTCCGTGCACGTGCTTGTGCATATTCATTTTTTACTTTTCACAGGAGGTTGGCCTAAGCGTGAAGCACCAGCGTTTTCGATGATTTCTGCAAAATTGTCGTGTCATCCATTTTTTTCAACGACCAGCAGTACCGGTGTATATTATTTAACTTTCGTATCTTCAAAAAGAAAAGCTTTTTCGGAGAAGCTGAAATCAAGAGAGCCACATGTTGAGATGAGGTAGTCATACATCTTTGTTTTTTGAGTGCAACAATACTTAAAAATCGAAGAAATACTATGACAGGAAAAATTAGTCCAATTGCACAGCGCTCACGACTGTGTTGATCAAAAAAGAAGACCACGCTTGTCCCCCAGTGTGGTCGCCAGTATACGTAACTGTTCAGAGCAAATCCTGCAACTCTTGGTAGGAAAATTCCTGCCGCAAGAAATTGTCGCTCTTCGCCACGCATGAATTGCAAAAGTATCGTACTAGCATGAATTGCATTACAAATTTCCTTAGCATAACAAATTGAATTTGTAATGCGGATTTACCTTATGAAATATTACACTTGTAATGCATGACTGCAATTACTACGAGTAGGATACTTTTGCAATGCATACCACGCTCATGGTTTGGTAGCTCAACGCCTTCGGGCTGCGTCGCGTGCTCATCTGTCTCCCGTTTTTCGTATGCAATGTAAATTTCCCGCACATGTACAAAATGCATGACAAATTTCGCTACCTTGCAGAGTCCAACTTGTCATGCTAGACTAGGACTGAATGCAAGTTTTGTCATGCAGAGACTGCATTTGTACGTCGTGTACGGGAAATTTACAGCGGGTATTTCAAGTTTGCATCATACAGCGCCAGCGCCGAGAAGTAGTAGGGCTCCAGGATTTGTTGCTGCGGCTCCCGGGTTCTTCGTTGTTCTGCCTGCGTTGGTCGTGGAGCAGCTCCGCGTGGTCGTCCTGGTTGTCCACCTTGTAGTTCTGCGTTGATATTATTCTCTTGCTCCGCTCGCAGCGCCTCTTGGGCCGCTGGATGCTGATCGCCGTCGATGGAGATCTGCCGCTGCAGTGGGGTCGTCGGACGTCGTGGTGCCAGTTGTTGTGTTGGCTCCAGTTCTTGCGCAGCCGCGCCATCTCCTGCATCTTCCGTAACCGCGACCTGTGGTGGTCTTGGTCGTCGTGTTCCTCCTGCCCCTGCAACCTGGGCTGGATTTGTCCCAGTCCCGTCCTGCCACTGCAACAAGTGTCTCTCCTGGTTGATTCCGTGCAGGTAGTGCTCTTCCAGGGCCTGACGCCCAACAGTGCTCAGCCGCGTGTCCGTGTCTTCAAAATCTGCCGGACCAATCGCGTTCCTCGCTCCACCTCTTTCCTGTTGACCCTGATTCTGATTGTGATTCTCATTCTCAATCGCATCCAAACCGCCCATCACCGTTGCAGCAGGAGCCGCTGCGGCTGCCCCGCCTGCTGCAGGAGTGCCGACTTGCAACTCAACGTCCTCCACACTCGGAACGAAATCTCGCAGGAAAACCAGAAAATACGCTTTGGGTATGGTTTTCACCTTCACGGAGGATGCAGATGCGGAAGAAACAGCAGTAAACGCCCCGGACCACGACGAAGACGATGCTGCACCACTACTAAAAACCTTCTTGCTCCTGCTGCTGCTGCTTCCCATCTTTCGCAGTTTGTCGTGCTGTTTCTTTTTCGCGTCCGCCAGTGTAAGGATGGATACGAGCTCCGGGCCACCGCCACGACCAGAATTGGGCGACGAGTTCGAGTGATCTGCCGCGTCTTCATCATCTTCATCTTCCCCCATGGCAATATCGTCCTGATGCAGCTCAGTTTCTTCTTCGACAATGATCATCTGCGCATACACTTCCACTTTCTCTTTCTCCCAGTCCGTTCCTATTATGCATTGCAAAAGAAGAAGTAGGAAGAACGAAATTTGCAATGCTGACGAGTTAGCTAAGAAACAAGATCAGTCATGCTGTGGTGCAATTGGTACGAGTACGATACTTTTGCAATGCATACCGATGTTGTCAAAGGTATTCTCGTTGATCAGCAGCCGCACCGCGTTCGTATGGAAGCGCCAGGTTTGAAATCGACAAAGTTGAAAGAATTTGTCATGCATAAAATGGATACCAGTTGGAAGACCACTTTCCAAGCGGCGCGTGACAAATTTTCGGAGCACCGAAATCCAATTTGTCATGCTGTTTGGGCACAGAAGAGTGTTTTTGTCATGCTCCTTTAGCAGCTCTATCCCAAACCCTAAATAGGCTTACAATCTGCCTCACTTGCCATCCCGGCAAGACAGGCACTTCATGCCTTGCATTTTATGCATGGCAAACCATTTCAACTTTGACGATTTCAATCCTGACAGATTCATAATTCGCGAAACAGGCGTTGTTTTTGTGCGCCGGCGGGCCGACGTAAACGGCTTCGTGGTTGTAGAACCGGCGGTCATTGTAGTAGTCAACGCGGCGCCAGCCCGTCGCGCGAAGTTTCGGTCCCTGTGCCACTGGTTCATCTTCTTCTTGCGGCGGGCTGTTGGTGGTTTCGTCGTCGCCCACCAGCGAACAAGATGTTCTCGGGTCCACGTGTAGAGGTGACTCCATATCCAAATCCATTTGTTCCTCAGTATAATTTGGTGCTTGGCCTTGGTCTTGCGCGAGCTGTTGTTCTAGTTCTTGTGTGATTCCGGAAGAAGATGTTGAAGGTCGCGCCGAAGACGAGCTTGCTGCTCCAGGTGCTACAAACGCCAAAACCCCGCTGGTACCACTACTCGTCCCCGACGATGCAGAGCCAGAAGCTGCAGCAGCTGCTGCCCCATAAGAACAAGGAGCATCATGATGATTACCGCCAGGCGTAGTCGTAGTGTGTACTCCTCCTCTACTTGTCGTTTGGTTCGCCAATCTCACCACGACCGGATGCGGACCTAAAGACACGTTCAAAATGTCACTACTCCTGGATGCTGCACCGAGAATATCAGTCGGAGAGACATCATTTGCTGCAAGGTTGATCGGCGTCATGTTGCGCGGTATGGGTGCGAGAGCGATTTGCAGATGGGGATCTGGACGACGAAGACCCTGCTGATCGTGTTGCGAAGGAGCCTGGCGATCCATCGTGTTGCTTATCCACAGAAACAGACCTATCAGGATCTTCAGCCCCATCCGTTTCATCTTGCATGACACACAGCTGCTACATTGCATGATGGTTCTTTCCCATGACAAATTGGACGGGGAAGTAGATCATGGGTCTTTTTTTCTCTGGATATTGCTTGTCACCGCTGCAAGCATGTTTGCGCCGCGTGGGAAAGACATCATAGGAGTACTGGCAGGACGAGCTGCGCGACCCGACGTGCTTGCTGCGCTTTCTTGTTGGCGGGGGTAGTTCCTTCTTAATCTTGTTTCAGTCGCACTACTGCTCGAGGATGCACCAGCGGATGACCACCTGGAGTTTGACGGCCGCGAAGTCCTAGAAGACGTCCCTGGTCGACGTCCGGAAGTCCGTCTGCGGCCGCTACCGTGCGCGGTGCGACGAGTTGCTGGACGGCTTGCGGATGTTGCGGCGAAGGTGGAGTTGTCCTCATCTACTTCTGGCGTTCCTGTGTAGTATCCTCGATTGGTTGATGCTGTCCCACCTGAAGATGCTGCTGTTGATGTTCTACTTCCACCTGCAGGCTGATGCGTCGCGGAGGACGAAGAAGATGAACCAGTTGAACCGCTCCCGGTCGTCGTAATATGGTCCTGCTCGCGAGGACCTCCACTTCCTGACGAGGACCTTAGGTCGCGATGACCAGCTGGCCCCGAGGACCCAGGCCCGGCCGCGTCTGCTCCGTGGAAATCTTCCCCGACAAGTTGCTCATCCGGCCGACTTCTTGCGACATGGAAGCCTCGAATGTCGTCGTCCACTGAAGAATCTTCCAGGCCGTCGCTGTTAGGCGACCGCCCGTGCGAAGATGCTGCTGGAGCAGCAGGAGCTGCTCCTGCATGATTCAATATTCGTCGTCCACCACAAGATGTTCTTGTTGAACTGCACTTCGGGAGCGAATGTAACCAGTGCCACACGTCCTGCCAGTACAATGTAGTGTCCAGTGCGTCAATCGGCCTGACGACTTCTTGGGTGGACGAGGATCGCCCCTGCGGGGACGAAACCTGTCTACTTCCTCTCGGCGACAAAAACCCGGTCGTCGTCCTCACGGCGTGACTACGCACGTTATTCGCAATTATGCGGCTGTTGTGCGACGTGGACGTCCCGTTTGTTCGCGGACCTCCATTCGCTGTCGTGCCTCCTCTACTTCTAGTACTACCAGCACCTCCATTCGCCGTATTCAATCCTGCACCCGTCCAAGTAGGAGCCACCTGTCCGTTCCTCCCCTGCTCCCTCCCCCGTCTACCCGCGCTGTAGTTGCTGTGTCTGGTAACCTATCAAATGCAAATATGTCTGGGTCTGGATCTGGAAGAGTGCAAGGTCTGTCATGCACGGCTAGCATGGCTCTCAAGTCTGTCATGCACGCCACCCAAAAGCCGCACTTCTCTGCCATTTCATTTCATTTCATTGAGACGAACCCCCTGTCATGCAGAAACGCAGTTTGTCATGCAGTAGCAACTCCAAAACTTGTCATGCTTGGCCGTCAATGAAGGCGTCCACATGAAGATGCGCCAAACAGCATCACAAGTCTCCAGACATATTTGCATTTGATATAACCCAGTAGAGGACGGGGTTGAAGATGATTTGCTGGAGCATAGAGTTGTTATTCACCGTGTGATATCCAGTGCAAATGTGTCTGGGTCTGGAACAAGAATGCAAGTTTGTCATGCTTGTCTGGCATGACAACTCTCAAGTCCTCTGTCCTGCGCGTGGTTATTACCCAAGCACCCCACTTTTTTGTCAGGCGCAAACATCGCATTTTACATCCAGAGTCGTGGGTAACAAACAACGAGGACGACCTCAAAAACTTGTCATGCTTGGCGGCAAGAAACTGATGCCTCCGCATGATTGTCCAAGCCACATCAAAAGTTCTTTCCAGACCCAGACACATATCAATGCATATGTGATGCTCTATTTCACCCGTGTTCTGATATCCTCCGCGCCCCTGTTGCCCATTGTTCACCCCACCATGGTAAGGCGCGTGCCCGGTCACCCCTCCCGCCGCCCACGGCGTGAAAATGCGCTGCGCCATAGTTGTACCAGCGGCGCGACTTCTTGTTCCACCACCACCCGTTGCTGCAGCTATCGCCCTGCCTCTCCCTCGGGACAAATCTTCGGCCGGGAATTGCGGCTCTGCCGGCATTTGGTAATACTCGTACTGTTCTTCTAACGGGCGGAGGCCGTGGAGGAAGGTCTGCAAAATTATCCACAAAAAAAAGAGCCACGATCATCATCATGATCCCCATCAAATTTGTCATGCAGTGCATGCGTGAACGACTGTGTTTGTCATGCAAAATAAGCAAAATGGATCAGGATACTTAGGTCTTTTTCTGTCGATAAAAATCCGTTGCGGGGAGTAGTTCTGCAGGTATTTCTTGTTCTGCACGAGGTAGCAGAAGAAAGGAACCAGGGGAGCGCCGGATACTGGTGGAGCTGCCGCTGCACCAGGCTTCCTGTGATGTTGCTGCGAGAATACATCTTCATCGTCATCCGCGCAGGCCGCTCCTACAAAGTGTGCAACATGTGGAGCGTGACGCCTTTGCTTCAGTCTCGTCTCATCAGCATCTTTCTCTTTGTCAATCCCAGTAGTGGCGGAAGTACCACCCCAGGAGCACCAGTTCTGGTCGAGTTGCTGTTTCTTATTTTTCCTGCTCGTCCGCAATTCTTCTGTGTATTTCCTCAACGCGCAAAGACCACAGGACCCGGGTTTGTAGGAGCAGTCGTGGCCGCTTCCGCTTTGGGCTCTGGCAACGGGGGAGGATGACAATGACATGGAGGACCACAGATGACGAGTGGTGCCACCACTTCTAAAACCAGTTGCACAGGGGGACGAAGATGAAGATGATATCAACGCGCCGCCGGCGCAGCTTCTGGGAGAAGAATGGCAGTGCAACTCGTCTTTCACCACTTCTTGAGCTGATCGCTCAGCATCAGGAACTTCTACTCCACCCGCTTGTAGTTCTTCCACGTGCGACGAGGACTCAAGATGAGCATCATGCGCGGCTCCCACTAACGGGAAAAAAGAACAACTCTGATGTGAAGATGCTGGCGGTGCGCCACAAGAGCCAGAACTTTTCGCTTCCACCTCTTCCGCCGCCTCATATGCAAGAAAAAGACTGTGTAAGTGTAACTTTCTTTGAGAAATAGCACCCCAAATTTGCTCTACATGACAGAGAAAACCTGTCACGCGTAGCTTGTAAGGGAAAACACACATGAACAAGAGGACTTCATGGCTCTCTGGCATGACAGGTGTAACTCTGTTGCATGTTCTGCAACACAAATTTACACTTACACAGTTTTTTTTTTTTGGATACCTCATCCCTCAGATGCAATGCCGCCACCATCTCCCGCAACCCGCCAAAACCGTCGATCGCGTCATCTTGGTCGTTGTGCACTTGACAAGAACTGTGTACCTGTTGTCTTTGCTTGATGTTGTGAAGACGACTGCCATCAAATAAATGGTTCTTGTGGTAAAAAGTGCACTGCTCGTCATTGGATTTGAACAGCTCTGCCGCCTCCCGGTTCACCTGGCGGAGGCGGAAAAGCGCGGCGTCTACTTCTCCTGCTTTGTGGAAGATGCTGGTGGTGCCAAGAAGGAGGAAAAGGCTCATCAGCAAGCGATGGAAGTAAAGAAGAGAAGAACTACAACTACTACCCAGCGTGGAGTTTGTCGGGAGTTTCTTGAGGGCAGCAGCTCCTGTCACAGCCATTGCTCGCCCGCGCATGGTCGAAGAGATAGACATCCTCGGGGAGCAGCAGGTGGTGTCGATTTACAATTTCAATTTTGGAATTTCAATTTCAAATTCCTTACCAGCAAGAAATGTAAAAAGAAAAACGATAACGAAGCTAGTACTGCTCAAAGAACATGACTACTACTTCGACACTGACACACATGGTTAGAACTGCACCTACTGTATGAATCTATTCTGGAAATTGGCACGAAGAAGTTGTCGAAAAGTAAAGGAAATAAAACCACCAGTACTAACAGACGTTCTTGTAGAAGTGCTGCAAGCCAAACTTCAATGAGAATGATCATCGAAGCAAAAACCAACTGAACCTTGTTCAATTCCATTGATCTCTTCCACAGGATAATCATAGGATTCCATTGAACTCTTCTGGTTATAAGTGTCACCTACTTTTTCCTCTCCTGCTCGTCGAAAAGGTAGAACTACACATCAAAGACCTGCTCGTCGAAAAGGTGGTAGAACTACTACACACAAGCAGCTCAAAGCTCATCTTCACCACCATCTACAGCGAAGAGAGCTGCATATGAATCGGTTCTTCTGTTGCCGTCACCTACCGAGACGAGCCTGCTTTGAGCGTGACACCAGCTAAAACGAAGATTTTTATTATTCTGGCCACGACTTCATCCAGTTGTAGCTGTAGGTGGTGAACGAAAAAAAGCTTCACCTTCACCTATACTTGTTTGCATGTTTCGTTGCCCATCCCCGGGACTGCGGGCGGGGGTCGATCGTGCAAAACCACAAGCAAATAAACCAACATGAGGACAGGGCGAAAATCATAACCAAGAAAGCTAGTTGTACAAATAATAGTAATACCTTATAATTTGGGCGGCTGACAATAGCAATACTTCAGTCTGGTAATATTTTGAAGCTGAAGCTCACTATTGCTGATAGTAATAGTTTTTGTCGATCTATGAACCATCCAGACATCAGGTAGTAAACTTGATTTCTTGTTAATCTTCTTTTCTGCAGCCTTCACATCAGCTTTAATGTTCCGCCCTTATTTGATGGTGCAACAACAAATTATACTAGGACAGTAGAACCTATTTTTCCGGTAATTAACTATATACGCCATGATGTGATCTTCGCATTCTATCTTCTTACCCCAAGAATAGCTAAACGGTTCGCTTTCGAGGTGCAAACAAAAACTGCTCGGTTTTTCTTCTTCAGGTATATCTATCTCAGAATCATTTGTTTTTGCACTGAAAAAAGCTTGAAAATAATGTCAACGAACTTCAGAATATCTTGGCCGTCGTGCATTTTAATATATTTCTGTACTTACCACGCGACTCCGTGCTTCTTCTCTTGACGGAAAGGGAAATAACTGGTAAAATTTGTGTATCGACAACTATTTCTTTGTGTACGTATTTCGTGTTGATTCTGGTGTCAACAGAATTTGTTTGTTGCTCTTTATTTCGCGTTTCTGTCAGTGCCTGTATTTTTTATTTGTGCGACGATGATGATCATACGTTTTTTCGTTTTCCGAATCGAAGACGTAATGTTGATGTAGTAGCACGCAGCTGCAATCTATCTTCAACATTCATTGTCACCAAAGATTCTTGCGGACTGCTCGACATAATTCATCATTGTCATCTTGCTTTCAGGTACACAGGAGGATAGTCGGATTGTGATTTGTGCTGCTACCTTAATACCCTTTCTTGTCACTTCTTACAACAGATAAAGCATTCTTGCACTAGTTTTCCTCGTACTACTAGCGCGTGGGGCACCAGATGGCTTTGCTTTTCCTTCGTCTCTTCCTTCTGCGGCAAAAATTATTTTCTTGCGCCGATGTAACTACGCTTCGCCACTTGGAGCGAAAAATTGTCAGCATGTGCCGGCAGAGGGGGTGTGCTACCCCGGGCGGCCGATGGTCACATTACTGAAATTGCTGGCGCCGAATTTTTTGAGAAAAAAAAAGAGGGACTCCACCACTAGTCAACTTCTGCTAGGGCGGTGGTCACTTAGTTGGAGCAGGGTCGCTTTAATGCTTTAGTACATTTACTTGCTTATTGAAGGCATAATGCAGCGGTTACAACAACATCAATCCAAAAGCAAAAACGGTCAATAACGTGATAGCGCCGATCGGGTAAAACTAAAAAAAAACTACGAGCAAAATCAACAACTTCCGACAATTCTTGCGACTTTCCCAGAAAATCTTTGCCGGGGGTTTTGAAGCAACGCGACCTCGAAATAGCCCCCGGGCAATCCGTTTCCACCTAGTAGTACACAAGTATTTATTCGGGATAGTAGATGTTGCCATTGTAGTTCTCGTTGCGGTGCCCATATGTTGAGATCTAACTACAGCTTCATGTTAATTTCTATGCCTTTCCACAATATGATGCTCTACTTCAAAAAAAAATATACGCTAAATAAAAAACCGTCGCTAACAAGTAAAAAATATACTTCTATGACCAAAAAAATTGCGGATGCAGATGAAAAAGAAAACAATAAATGGCCTCCCTGCCAGATCAGTTTCAGGCGCCGTGAAAACAGTGCGAAATCGACTCTGGCAGAGGAACATACAACTTTATTCTCAGACTTAAAAAAATCCATGTCGAGCTTAAGTAGTTCCGTTGGTAAATGTAAATCATATATCATCCTCAACATTTTTGAACCGACTAGATCATACATAAGAAGATGCTGGGGTAGATTGTATATATCGATTTTTAAAAGTAGTAGCTTGCGCCATTTTCTGCATCGTGGTATATGATTCATACGCCAAGAGCAGGACCTTTCTCTTTCTGTTTCTTTTTCAGCTCTGCACAGGCACGCGGCTCTGCTGCACACGAGTCGCTCTGCAAAAATCTTCAGGATCTTCAGACATTGCACGACCACGAGTAGAAGATCAAAAGTTAAAGTGTGAAGAATAAATATAAAACGACTTCTTGCATCAAACATTCAAATCCCTTGGCAAGCAGTCGAGGATTCTTGTTGAATGCAGGAGGTGCAAGAGCTTGGCCATTTTTGCTCCTCTGCTACACAGGATGCTGGTCTTGGGTCCTCTTAATCCACCGGATCGAAATCGTCTGCAACGTATGATTGACGCGGCGCAAGATGAAGAACTCCTCCCGCGCCCCGATGTCCTGCGTAGCGCACTCCCATTGGCATTGCACCAACAGGCTGCTCGTCCACCTCTGCAGCTCCACCAGCGTTCATGTTCAAGGAGGATCTCCTAGATTCTTGCCCCGGTAGAGGTTCTTTATCTTGAGTCGCATTCTCCTCTTTCTCAACGTCGCCTTTCAGCTTTTGCACTTGCTTCCAGGTAAAGGAATTACTTAAAACGGAGTCGGAGAAGAAGCTCAACGCTTTGTTCATGTACTTGGTCGCGTCGGTAGTCACGTTCGAAAAGTACTGGGAGGCGAAAGTGGTAGTGGGAGGATTTATGTGTGCTGGTCTTGTAGTTGTTGTTCCGCCCGTAGTTCGTCTATTTCGGGTGGTGCCCGAAGAAGTTGTAGTGGAGGACCTAGAACTAGAAGCGATGGAATCATGATGGGAAGTAGATCTTCGACGGGCAAGAACTCCACTAGTGTGGTCATCATCTTCCCCGCTCGTCCTGCTGTTCCTCGCCATGAAGTAACGTTGATCAAAGTGGAGGTCATCAACATCGTCCTCGTAGTATAATTCCATTGCGGCAGAGGTGCGAAGTTGTTGTGTCGCCGGTCCAAAATCTTTATCTGAAGAAGAACGCCGCTTCAGAGCTACAGTAGAGCCGTGATGTTCACCAACATCTTGGCTCGCTGCAACAGAGTTTCTACTTTCATGAGCGAAGTTGTTGTTCTCCTCCTCGTCGCTGGGAGATGTTGCTGATGATAATGATGAGCCAGCCGAACCTGCACTTCCTGGTGGGTCCCGACCAACTGGCCCCCGGATTTGCTGGATCCGTCTTAATCTTAGTGGAGCGCCGTAGGGCGGATTGTAGCTACTAGTAGTAGAACCGGTTAACATTTTGTCTTGTTCTAGTATTTCCTTGTTCATCGCCTGCTCGACACCAGGAGCTTGCACATTTTTCACAACTCCATTTGATGTTCGTGGTCCCGCAGCAGGCGTAAAAATTGTGGCATTGCTAATATCCAGGGCACTACTACTATGACTATCGTCCAAAAGACCCGAGTCCTCCTGCCCGTTGCAAGAGTAAACCTCAAGCTGGTCCACCTGGTGGCTTTCTTGTGAGAATTCATTTCCAAGAGGCAACACTGTGGTCGCGCCGCCCGACGCAGCCATTTTCATCATCTCCTGTTGTTGTTCTAGCGCGTAGGTAGGGTTCATCAGCCCCATTTTCGTGATTTCGTGCTCTTTGTTTTTCTTGTACTTGCCCGTTGCCTTAGTCATATTTGTTCCTGCTGCTGGAGGCTGTTCACCACCTAGTACAACTGTCACTGCACGAGGTTGAGCTCCACCTAATTCTGCAGCAGTACTTGAAGGAACCGGCCCCGGTGAGAGTGGCATCATGTTTGTAGCTGTTCTGTTCATCATCGTCGCACTCGCTCTCTTATCAAATGCAAAAATGTCTGGGTCTGGAAGAGTGCGCGACTTGTCATGCAGCTTTTCCATGACCCACGAGGCCTGGAATGCAGGACCTAGCGTGACAGATTCTTTGCGATCTCTCTCATGCCTATCCTGCACGAGAAACTCCCTCCCGACTTAGCCAAAACTGGATGACTTTTGGTAATCACGCAACACAGATTTTTGCATGCTTCAGATTTAGCATGACAAGCTGCATTCTTCCAGACCCAGACATTTTTGCAGTTGATATCTCTTCACCGCCTGCTCCATCCGCTGGGCGGCCGCTGCTTCGTCCGATAAGTTGTGTGTTGAGTTCCTTCCTCTGGAACAAGATGAGTTACACATACTGGACGAGGATGACATCCTCGAGTTTCTGCTTTGTTCCTTCTGCAATTCGCGGATCTGCTGCTTCTGCTCTTCGCTCAAATTCTGCACGACTTGAGGGCTTAGGAAATCCAGGTTCAGGTTCCGGAGGATGTCCATGGCGGTAGTCGGACAGATGCGGCTGTTTTGTCGTTCTTCGGCAGCTTCGACGTCCACCAAGTTGACGTTATTTTCCTGGATCACACAGGTGGACGTGGAACTGCTTGTGCTAGTAGTCGCGTTCGCCTTGGTGTTTAACATCCCTTTGATGTTGTTCGTAGGAGCTCTATTAACGACGTCGTGGGCAACATCAACCGAACTCAACACTCTGCCTCCCGCAGTGTCGGTTTTAACATTTGCGGAGGTGGTCATGATTTTATTCGCGGCAGAAGAACTTGAAGTGGGCAGGAGTTGCCTCGGAACTTCTTCCGCGACTCGCCCAGGCTTGTTGTAACTGCAAAGACGACCAGAGTTGTGCTTGTCCTGCTGCTGCGCCACTTCATCATATGCGCGGTAACTCCAGCAGGAACCTCCGTTTTTCATCATCATCCCAAAAGAAGACCCGCCCTGTGGACAGAAAACAGAAGAAGAACGGTTGCTGGAAGTAGTACACGTAGTAGTTGGGTGACCACTGCTTTCCGCCCCGTCCGGGGAACCACCAGTACAACCGGGCAGCTCGTAAAAGGTACTACAGTATGAATTGCAAAACCATCATACTAGTATAAATTGCATTACAAATTTTCTCAGCATGAAAAACTCCACTTGTCATGCTGTTTTACCTTGGAAAGGAAATTTGTCATGCATAACTGCAATTAGTACGAGCACGATACTTTTGCAGTTCATATACAGCCGAACTGCTCGCAAGAGTTACCCATCCACTGTTTCATCAGTTGCCAGATCCTGGCGTATCACAATGAAAAACGCCCCCACCCCCGAACTTGGGAGCATTTGCATTGCAAACCTTTCCAACAGAAACACTCGCCCTCTTGCATCTAGCAGCATCACAGATTTCCAATCGTGAATAGCGAAGATTTGTATTGCAACAGATCCCAGCAAGAGTGGCGCTTGTCATGCAAGCACTGCTATATACGCCTAGACTCTGCATCGCAAAGATTCATACTCCTTTCATGCATGACAAAAAGTTTTCATTTGGAAACTTCGCATCACAAAGTATTGCAACTTTGGGGGTGGGGGCATTTTTCATGGTAATATGGCGCGGTTCAACTTCGCCGGGACTGTGGGCGGTTTGATAGTGTTGTTGTAGCTGCTGTTGTGCCCGATGTCCCGGTTTTTCAGCTGCCCATTTTGCTGCAGAATCTGCACTATCAAGTGCAAAAATGTCTGGGTCTGGAAGATTGCGAGATTTGTCATGATGATCTGGCATGGCCCTAAAATCTGTATTGCGTGGCCAGAAACAGCCTCTCTCGCCTGTCATGCAAAAACGCAGTTTCTCATGCGGAATACGCGGCACAGAAGCACGAAGCAACTTCTCTTGCTTGGCGGCGCATTACCATTACAGTGCATTTGTTATTGACTGACTTGCATCACAAGTTTCCAGACCCAGACATTTTTCCATTTGATATGCACCCCAACCGTGAACTGATTCACCAAGGGTAACCCCTGCTTCGCCATGGCCGTCATTTGCAACAGTTCCTTCAGTATCAACTGTAAAAATGTCTGGGTCTGGAAGATTCCGGGATTTGTGATGCGTATTCTGTATGAGCCATAATGCACGTGATGCATGATCTAGCATCACAGATTTTTAGAGGGCTTCCTGATGCCTATTCCGCATGAGAAATGTCCTCTCCGCGTAACACAAAATGGACTCCTGTTGTTGGTCACGCAATACAGATTTTTTTGGAATCCAAAGACAGCATGAGAAGTTGCAATCTTCCAGACCCAGACATTTTTGCAATTCATATTCAGCCCGACTGCGTCGTGGCGAAACGCCTTCGCCAGTTTGTACTTGAATAGCCGGAGTTGCGCTTCCGTCTCGAAGTTGGTGTTGGTGGACACAATCGCCGAGTTTTTCTCGTCTATCAAGTCGTGGGTTTTGTTCTTCGCGTCCTGCTTCGCCATGCGGTTCCACTTCCGTTTTTTCCCCGCTGCACCCATGCCGACGTAGACGTTGCAGCCCCCGGTTCTGAGCGGCAACAACGGGTCAAATGTCGTGTTGAAACACCCCCCAGACGTGGGCCCCGCGCCGTAGCGGCCGTTCTTGAACAAAAACGGGTTCGTGGTGTAGATGTTGCTCATGCAACTCCGTTCTTTCATCGCTTTTTGCCGTTTAATGTACAGTTTCTGCAGCACGTGCGCGTGACAGGGCTCCGGGTGGCACCAGCAGCCTAAAACTTTTCCCCGGAGGTTATCTAAATGCTGGAGAATGTCGGGGTGCTGATACAGTAAATAATGCTCGTACTTTTCAATCACGACAAATCGGTCGTCGCCGTTGTGACCGCCGAGTCTGAAAGGATTTCCCCAAATCGAGGGACGCCCGATGTACAGGTGCCGGGCCGGGTCGCGCAGCTGCCACTCCCGGATCTTCCGGCTGTTCGAGAGGTTCGGCCCCTGCTCGTTGAGCAGCTCGTCCCGGGTGGTGCTGGAACTGTGTCCGAACAGGCCGCCTCCTGTAGTCGCAGCACCACCAGCTTGAGATGAAGTCGTCTTGTTGTCTAGTGCACCACCTCCATTGAGTAGATGATCATTTTTCACACTGCCACTGCAAGAAGCCGCGCTGCTGCTTCCCGCGCAACTGGATTGCGCCAGTGCAACATCTATCCTGTGCAAAAGTATCGCACTCGTATTGCAATCATGCATTACAAATCCCTTTCTTAAGCGAAATCTGCATTACAAATTTTATTTCTCATGCTGCAGAACTTTGTATTGCATTTATACGAATACGATACTTTTGCAATGCATAACATCTAGGTCGAACTGGGAAGGACTGCGATTCATCAACCGCTCCGGGACACCGGTTAGTGGGCCACGATCTACTATTCCGCGGTTTTTAGCAAGAGCGGATGCTGATGAACTACTTCCCGGGGAATTGTGCGCGACGTCCTGCCCGGGTGGAAGATGATACTCTTCGTCCAGCATCTCATGATCATCTAACGGCGCGAACATGTCAATCGACCCACAACCTCCAGCATTCTTGGTGATGTCCTTTCTTTCCAAAGAGTTCTTCTTGTTTGCATAATTTTCCCTGCTGCTTTTGTAGTTCGCCACTCCCATCTTCCGCGCAAACGGGCTGCCGAGCGCGTCTTGGAGTTGTTTCGACTGCTTTTCTATCATGTGCAAAAGTATCGCACTCGTACTAATTGCGAATATGCATGACAAATCTCCTTCCTAAGCTAAAACAGCATGACAAATTCCATTTCACATACTCAGGAAATCTGTAATGCAATTTATGCTAGTACGATACTTTTGCAATGCGTATTTTCCGTCTTCCAGCGGTCCATCTGTTGCTTGTTGTACATCATGGCCTCCTATGCACAGTAAATTTCCCGTACACGACGTACAGATGCGGTCTCTGCATGACAAAACTTGGCTTCGATCCTAGTTAAGCATGACAAGTGTTGCGCTCCAAATTGGTGAAATTTGTGATGCGTGTTGCACATGTACGGGAAATTTGTATTGCATACCTCTTCATCCGCGGAGAGTTTCGGCTGTTGCAGACAGGAACTGGTTTCCAGTACCCCGACACTGCTCGCACCCGAATTGCCGTGAGGGATGTTCATGAGCTGCTTGTTGTTCATGTTGGTGCTCATAGAAGTCGTACCACTACCACTACCCATACTTCTGATAGTACTGCCGTCGGGGTTGATATCTTCAACGTATGGCTCCTCTTTTGAAGATGTTCTACCTTCGCCTCCTCGACTATGGATGTGTCAGAGTTGAAATCGACAAAGTTGAAAAAACTTGTAATGCATAAAATGCGATGCAAAAAGTGACTCTATTGCAGAGGACGCAAGGGAGGCAGATTATAGTCCTGGTAAGGGTCAAAAGTTGGACTGCTGACTAGCATGACAGAAGGCAGCTCTTTTCCCCTAAACCGCATGACAGACTCGCTTTCAGGACCGGGAAAATTTGTCATGCACCGACTACAAACTGCAGGTCTAACTGGCATCCATTTTATGCATGACAAATTATTTCAACTTTGTCGATTTCAAACCTGACACTCCCATATCGACCTTTATCATCTTCCATGTCGCATTCCTCGCAGAACTCAATCAACTCATTATCCTATCTAAAAACGTACCCACCCCATAGCCAAGATGGGGAATCGGCTAGACAAATCCACAAGCTTTGGCTGTTTCGCATGACAAATTTGGACGCGTAGTGTAGTGCTGTTTGAGCTAGTTCAGCAGCATTGCAGAGCTAGTCTCTCATGCTGATTGGAGCATGACAAATTTCAAAACACCATTACAAAATGCTCCTCATGGGGCTCCGCATGAGAAACATTTTAAGCATGCAGATTTGCATGACAACTCTGGTGTGGGGACGTTTTTACTCAGGATACTCGTCAATATCCCGAAACCCGTTCACGTTGTGCAAACACCCGCAGTTGCAGATCTCCCGGGACAGAGGGCACTCGTCAAACGCGGCATGCAAGTTGATCACCGTCGGCGGTTCGAACTCTTCAATTTCCTCCTTTGTCAAGGAGAGCAAATGCGCTCCCTCCCGGTCCATGTCGAAAGTGCGCGGGCGAAACCCTTTGGCGTATTCCCGATACCGTTCTAATTTCCTTAAAGCCCTCGCGTTGTAGAGAATTTCCGCTTCGTATTCCTGGTAGAATTCCTTGGATTCCTCGATCGTCATATCCGGAAGCTGGAGACTTTCGGAGGAAAAAAGATCCTCGTACTCTGTGATGGCGGAGAGCAGGGTAGATTGCGGATTTTGTTGTACAGATGATGTTCTCGCGGAGCAAGAAGCGGAAGTGATCGCAGCTCTCTTCGGCCGGGCTACTGGTGGCGAGAGACCCGGGGGCGCGAGCCGTTTTTTCGTTGTTTTCATATTCAGCGCCGATGTTGCTCCTGTGGACGAGAATTCCTCAAAGCCAGCAGGAGAAGGGGCCGAAGCAGCAGCTCCAGTCGTCGCGTACGTCAGTTCCATCTCTGTTTTTCTGTTCAATTGCTCCAGAGCCTGCTGAATCAGCTCCTTCTGCTCTTCCTCTTCTTGTTGCTTCTGGAGTTCTTCGGTGAAGTCAGGGATAGTATCAAGCTGCCGCTGTTTGTCATGCTTGTCAGCATCGTCGTTCTTCGTTTCGTGTGCTTGTTTAACACCTTTTCCCTTGTTGTACTTGTTTCCACAAGGCGTCCGCCCATTCGTGCTTTTCCCCGACAAAATTTTGTTAATGTTGATTTTCTATCAAATGCAAATATGTCTGGGTCATCTGGAAGGATGCCTTTGTGATGCAGATTTGCCATGAGCCATGATGACGTCTGGAACGCAGGAACTAGCATGACAAAGTCTGTGAGATCTCTATCTTGCCTGTCCTACATGAGAAACTCCCTCTCAATTACAATTTGGTCAGAAGTCGACAGCATTTTTTGGTAATCATGCAACACAGATTTTTGCAGAATGCTGCATACCTAGCATGACAAGTCACACTCTTCCAGACTCAGACACATTTGCAATGCATATTTTCACCTTGCCGCTTTTCTCGTCGTACTTCAAGATCTCCTTTTTCATCAGCGCCGTCATCTCTTGCTGGGCCTGCGACTGCTGTCCCGTTCCGAGCAGACCAACTTCCTCGAATAAGTCGTCTTCCACGGAGGTCGTCGCAAAGCTACGCAAATCGTCCATTCCGTGGACCCCCTCGTTCTGACTCACGATGTTCAGCTCCCCGGTGCCGAGGGAGATCGCCAACGCATGCCGCTCTTCCTCCGTCATAAACGGAATCTGCCGGATGATCGTTTGATTCCGGCTGTTCTCCAACTGTAGCCTCTGAATCCTTTGCCCGCGGGTCATGGTGTTATTCGAATATTGTGTGGCAAAGTGTCCCCACCCCAGAACTTGGGAGTGTTTGTATTGCAAACCTTTCCAATGGAAACACTCGCCCTCTTGCCTGTATCAGCATCACAGATTTATTTCGATCGTGAATAGAAGAAATTTGCATTGCAAAAGATCCCAGTAGGAGCGGCGCTTGTCATGCAAGCGGTGCTGGATACGACTGGATTGCGCATCCGAAAGATAATTCGTAGTCCTTTCATGCATGACAAAAAAAATTCATTTGGAAACTTCGCATCACAAGTTATTGTTATTGCAACATTTGGGGTGGGGGCATTTTTCACTGTAATATCGAAACGTGGTTGTTCAAAATGGAGTTCACCGCCTGCGAGCACTTTTTCGGCGGACAGACCTCGGCTTGGAGTTGTTGCAATTCCTGCTCCTTGATCAACTCGCACAAATTCTCCTTCAGCAGTTCACTGGTGGGCAATTCCTGCGATTGGTGCCCGTGGGTTTTGAAAAACGGCAGTTGCTATCAAGTACAAACATGTCTGGGTCTGGAAGGATGCAAGTTTGTCATGCTCGGCCGACAATGCAGAAAAGTCTGTGATGCAGCTTGTTGCGCTACAACGAAACTTGTTTGCCATGCAAAAAGGCAATTCGTCATGCGCTTAACGCTAGACGTAGCCACCCAGAAACCTGTCATGCGCGGCTCCGCAATACAGTTCGCGTATCATTCGGACATTAGCATCACAAGCTTCCAGATTCAGACATATTTGCAATGCATAGTTGCTGGTTGATCGCGGTGATCGCTTCTCTCGGGTCCAGGAAATCCACGCCGAGGGATCTGACCGGCGGGATCGGGTCCGGTTTGCCGTTCATCAACTCGTCGCAGAACTTCGCGCAGTGCTGCTTCAACGATTTGTGGTAGTGGCGGTCCTTATTGCGGAAGTAGTCCTTTTTGATGTTGTACTTATCGGTCGTGTATCAAATGCAAAAGTGTCTGGGTCTCGAATGTTGCAGGATTTGTCATGCAGATCTTGCATGACCCAGGATGTCTGTAATGCACGGTCTAGCATCACAGATTTTCAGCGGGCTTCCTGATGCCTACTCCGCATGATAAATGCCCTCCCCGCGTAGCACAAACTAGACTCCTCTCGCTGGTCATGCAATACAGATTTTTTTAGAGTCCGAAGATAGCATCACAAGTTCCAACCTTCCAGACCCAGACACTTTTGCACAGGATATCGTGATCGGCATCGCACGGGGATCCGGTTCTAGTTGACTCTCGTCTAAGGTAGCAAGGGTTCTTTCGAGGAGGTTCTTGCTCGCTCCAACCGCTGGGGAGGTAGAAGAGAACGTCTTGGTGGCCGCTGCTGCACCTGGTGCAGGGACATCAACTACAGCAGCAAGTAGATGATCAGCGTTCTTCTTTTCAGCTTCTTGTTCTTCCTGTTCCTTTATCAATTCCCCAGTAACTGTAGCAAGACGAGGAGGCCTCTTAGAAGTTGTAGAAGCTCCTGCAGGTAGCCCGGAAAGATGTGGATGCTGCTCGTCGTGATGCTGATCTTCATCTTCAACAGCTGCCGCATGATCTGTCGGAGCCTCCTCCATCGGCAGCCCGTGTGCCGCCGGCCGGTCAGGGCCTCGACCTCCTTCGAAAGGAGCCACTTGTTCTTGCAACGGCAGTTCAATGTTGCCGTGGTCACCTTGGATTTTTACCTGTAGTTCAAGATCTTCCTCGTCTTCAATATCCACCACAGCATTCTCCCTATCCCCGTTCATCAGCAGCCTCAAGTTTGCGAACTCGTGCTCTTTCAGAGGCGAAAATTGAACGTGGTCCTCGCAGGGCTTGGGCTTGGTCTTCGCATCTACGGAATTGATGTTGGAACAAGTAGATTGATGCTCACCCTCTTCATCCCCAGGAGCTGTAGTTGTCGTCGTAGTTGTTGTCACAACACCACTTTATCAGAAGGAAAAATCCCCCCTCCCCATATCGAAAACGAAATTTGTGTTGCTGTATTTGAGTACACAAATCAGGTTTGTATTGCAGAGAAGCACTGCGGCCAGATGCTCAGCTAGATAGGGGCCTATGGGTCTAGTTGTTTAGCATGGCAAACGGCTCCCCTTTAGGCCCAACAGCATGACAAATCGCTTCCATAGTGGGGCGCAAGCTTCTGCCCTTGTCTCCTTGCAAGACAAATGTGATTTGTGACCTCAAATCAGCAACACAAATTTTCGGAAACATGCCTTTTCGATATGGGGAGGGGGGATTTTTCCTTTTGATACACTTCGTGTTACAACCATGGGGGAAATCGTTCCACCGTCAGAACAATCTTCGGAAGCGGGAGGCTCAACGTTGGTGGACGTGGGAACGACAGGTTGAGCACGACGACCAAAGCCTTCGCTCTCGTCAACATTTTCGCCTTCTTCTGCTTCTACAGCAGCTCCAGCTTCTTGCGCTTGTGCCGCGGCCGCCGCAGCTGCAATCGCAGCCGCTTTTGCCGCAGCGAGCGCCTCCACCCGTTCCTCTGCTTCTATGACTTTCAGCAATTCCTCGTCGATCACGACCGGCGCCTTGCAGTTGCTGAACATCATGTTTTGCCGGCGTCGCTTCGTGCCCAAACAAGTATCCACGCCGGGGATGATCTTGATTGGAGGGATAGTGTCCCCGAGGCACGAGCGATTGTGGTTCTTGGTGCTGTTCCGCGCCGGGTGCAGGGAGTTGATATTGCCGGTAGGCAAGGAATGGAGATTCGGCGTGGAGGGAGGCGCTGGGGTCGTCGTCGTGGCTCCACCTGCTGCTGGTGGGATCACCACAGCCGGATTTGAGGCTGGACTTGCGTTCGGTTTGATGGCTTTACTGACGCCAGAACCTAAGCAGGCTGGATGACCAAGAACTTCTGTACCATCCACGTTCCTGTCTTCAACCTCCGCCTGAGCAGGAGTCTGGTGCTTGTCCATTCCCACTTCTGGCGCGTGCAAGTTAGTGCTGTGCTGCGCACCATCTCTACTTCCTTCACGACCTTCAAGAAAAACATCATCCGAGTGCACCAACTGCTGCTGCTGGTCGTGACCAGTTATTTCCTCTCCCCCTGCTCGAGTAGCTGCCATCTCAGCAGCATTGTGGCTGTTCTCCTGCACTGATGCAATCAGTTCCAGCATTTTCTGGTGCTCGGCACGCTGCTGTACTGCCTGCGGCCGTCGGTCAACGAAAACATCCCCCCGTTCCGCAGCCTCCTTTTTCCGTAACGCGATCAACTGTTTCACGCGCAGTGCGTTCTGTTCCACCGCGTACTCACGACAGTAGCCCATGGCGGAGTAGAAATTCGACCTCTTTCGGACCGGTTTCGTTGCGCCTTTAGCGCCGGGGGTTTTGTCTCCATTTTCCCCGTCGTGGCTGGAGGAGTCGCTGTTGTCATCGTCATCGAGGTCAGAAAGTTCGTTTTCCTGGTCTTCAACGAAGTCGTTTAACAAGCTTTGGCTGTCCGAACCTGTATTCTGATTGCCTAGAACTCCACGACCTCCAATATCTCCCATTTTTTTCCTCTGCAAAAGTTGCTCCTCTGCTTTGTCTTTTCTCACCCTATCTTTCAGCGCCTTGGCGTTTGCAGCCATCATCTTTTTCTCCACCTCCGCCTGGGCCTGTTCCTGTTTCGCTTTCTGCTCCTTTTTATCAAATGTAAAAATGTCTGGGTCTGGAAGAATCGCGCTGCTTTTGCATGACACAGAAGGTCTGGCATGGAAGCTCTAGCATCACAAGTTTCGAGAAGCGTTCGCATTCGCAATGCCGAATCCGCATGACAAATCCCTGACTTTGGTGATAAAAAATTGGCAACTTTTGCTGCCTATGCATGAGAGATTTTTCTGTGTTCTGAAATGCGCATCACAAGTTTCAACCTTCCAGACCCAGACATTTTTACACTTGATACTTTTCCTTCCTTTTTTTCCGTCGTTGCTGGTTTTTCGTCAGCTTCGGGAGAGCGTCGTCGGCTCCTCCTTCTGGTGTCGTGCCGGAAAAGTTATTTTCTCCACCATCACCTGCCACGAGCTGTTGTGCGGCTCCTGCACCCCCGTCTTTCACTTTCTGCAGCAAATTATTACCGCTAATATTATTCGCCAAAAATGGGTTGTCGTTTGCTTGATCATCGACGCTCGTCCGTGGCTCCGACTGCGTGCACCAAAAGAGCTTCGAGGTTTGTCGCTTCCAAAACTCGTTTAGCAAAAGAACGGGGTCACTGTCATTGGATTTGGAGGAAGATGAAGTAGCGCTCGTGCTGCGCTGCTGCTCAGACAGCAGACGACTGATGTTCATCATCTGTTGATCGCGTTTCTTGGTTGATGGAGAGCCACAGATTTTTACTGCAGCTTGTTCCACCTTCACACGCGATCTGGCTCTGGTTTCATCAACTTCAACATCATCCTCCACTGCACTGGCAGAGGGAGCTGCTCGATCTTTCGCAATAACGCGTTCGTCACTGGTCTGCCTCTCAGAAGTACTAGGCAGACCTCCGCTTGAAGAAGTCGGCAGCTGCGTTGAAGATGAAGACTCGCCTTTTATTTTCCCTTCTGTACTAGAAGTTGTTGGACCCCTGCAGCCTCTCCTCGCGCGGGCGCTTTTACTGCCAGCTATGCTACTGCTGCCAGACGCGACCGACCTGGCCTTCCTTTTGCGATTGACGTTGTCGCAAGAATGGTGTATGAGGCCGTCTTTGTCATGATGTTGAGGAGCAGTCACGGTTTGCTGCTGGGGCACCCAATGCCCATTCTTGTTGTAGTAAAACCCAGAAGGTTGTAGCGACGTGTAGTTGCTCTTCCCGTGCTGGTGCGCTGCTCCTGCTGTAACCGAAGTAGACCCGCCGTGCTGCACGTTGTAAGAACTCCCTTTACCTTTATACTGACCCGGCGTGGTCGCAGCTCCACCACCCGCAGCTGCAGACTTAGATCGCTGTTGACCGACAGCGACTGACTTAGCGCCCACCGTATGTTGTTGATGAAAGGAGCTCTGCTGCTGGTGCTGTTCAAAGAAGCCACCTTTCTTGCTGCCGACTTTTGAAGATGTGTAGAAAGACGAGGAGTTTTTACTGCCTTTGGAAAATAAACTTTTGTCGTGTTTTCCAACAGCTCCTGGTGCATAATTCTTCGTACCGAAGGTAGTAGGCTGCTGGTAAAAATTGGATTGTTGAAAACCTGTGTTGGAAATCATGAACTCGCTCGTCAGCACAGCGTGGCCTTTATTCGTCTTGGTCGTCGTCCCACTCTCAGCTTGATGATGTCTCCCTGCTGCAATGAAAGCCGGATTATTGTAACCGGTATGATCGTACGTCGGAAAATGCGCGGAAGTCGTGGGAAGATGCGTGTAGTTAGTGTTCATGCCACCTTTTTGTTGTTCTTGTTGTTCGTGCAGGGCGAGCTGATGCATCGTTTTCCCGTGCTGTTGATCGTAGCCGTAGCGCGTATTATCAACTGCGAATGTAGAACCATAGCCGTTTGTTGTTCCGGTCGAGGATGTGTAGTTGTTCGAAGTATTTTTTCCGGAATACATCGCACCATGATCAACACCGTTGTAAGCCTTAGTTGTTGTACCGTCGCCCGCGCCGCCGTAGTTGTTGTAAAACCGAGGTTGTTCCTGATAGGGTTCTTGTACAATACCCGCGACTGCTGGAGCAGTGTAACAAGCTGCACCATTGAAGATGCCCCGGTCGCTGTGCTGCCCCTGATACATCAGCTGCGTGTTTGTGTTCATCCCACCCTGCATCTTGTGCGCCTGTTGCTGCTCTGTAAACATCTGCATCAGATCCGGATGGTGCTGTGTTTGTTCGTGATGCTGAAGCTGATGTTGTGCATAGTTTTGCTGTTGTGCTGGTTGTTCATGATTGGGCGGACCACTTCGGTACAACGCAGGGGCACTTTCATATGGATCGTTCGACTGCTTGGCCGCTGTCGTCATGGAAGCGGAGTTTCCAAAACTTTCTTGCGGTTGGTGGAAATCATGACCCGAAGGTGAACAAGCAGCGGCAGGTGCTGGCTCAGCTACTAGTGCATCTTCCGCGCGGCCTCCAGGCCGACCAGCGATCGAACTACTGGTCGTGGTGCTGTTAGTGTTCAATTCCTCACCTCCTTTGTTCCCGCCCTCCATCTTCTGCCAATACTTCCACAGAGATCGGTTGAAGTCGGAGTTTTTTTCGACTTCTTTCTCGCCGTTGTACAGCAGCTCTTGGCCATGGTTCTTCGTCCCTTGCCGCCCCCGCTCTTGTTCATCTTTGGCGTCGTCGGTTTTCGGTACTATGATCCCCGAAAGAGAGGGAGAAGTGTACGTGGCCTGTGGTGAAAAGACAAAAGTGGTTGGTGTTTCGGTTTTCAAAGCTGCAAGAGAACCGCTCTT